AAAAATATTGGTTTGAGAATAACTAGTTGTTTAATTCTGCAGAATCATGTAGTCCCAATAACATAAGATAAATGTTATTTGCTATAACCTTATTTAGCTACGTAAATCAAATCTGTAAAATACTGTACCTATTCGATCAGTGGTCGCTACCAAATTGTGACTTAAATGTAAACTTAAGTCTTTCTCCACAGACAATGTATTACAATATTTCAAAATTGTCTGTGCTTTCTCTGTATTATTTCATCAGTGGTCATCATCCGAATGTTTTTCCCTTTGTACTATGTTTAGACCGTGGCTTGATTTTATATGCTATGATTCTTTGTTTTGTTTACATTTACGTTTTTATTTTTTAACCACCATGGCAACCCATAAGGCCAATGTTAAAATTTAAGAACTTTGAGTTACTTTAAAATTATATAGGCGTTATCAAAAATTAAAATTGGTTTCGTATAAACCATCCAATCATTTGACAAACCAACCTTGGTAAGTTTGGCTAAAATATGTTTAGCCGTTATTAAAATTAAAGTGTTATAAAGATTGCATTGAAGTTGATCCCAAAGAGCATCGCTTGGCTCCGCTTCGCTACCAGGATCCAAATCTTGTACAGAACTGTGTCTACTGAAATTTTCGTAACAAAGTTTACAAGCGACAATGAATTGACGCCAGTCCTAAAAGTCTGCCTATCGACGTAAAACAGTGGTATTGTCCTATTAACCATGTTATCAGCTCAACCCAGCTTCTGTGTTATCTAGCTTGACACAAACAGCTTCAACTTTGTGTTAGGTGAGATAAAATGCGTTTCAAACCATTTAAACCTACACAAACGGGGTTTTTTTTTCAAAGGGAAAAATCCTCAACTGTAATATGGATTAGCAGTTTACTCTAGGTTCTAGAGTGAATTTTCGTGTTTTACTGTAGAATTTGTTTAAATCTTCTAGTGGTAGCGGGCCAAGGTTTTGCCAATGATTTTTAAATTGTGGGTATTAGACATCCTATCGTTATACATTACCTGTTGCTACTATGATGCATTCAAACACAAAGCTATAGTTGAATGAATCTCTCCTAAAGTGAGCTGTCGTACAGATTTTATTTACCAATTAATTGTTATTTTGGTTTCTTTGTGTTTTCCTATATAATTAACATTCCTAGGTAATAGTAAATATAACTACCATTTTCGAAAGTGGCTCATTTTTTGAAAAGATTCGGAATAGACTTTTTGTATTAGAAGTGATGCAAAAAATCACACATAGCTTCTTGGCTTAAAAAAATCCGGTTGTCTAGTAATTCTGTTCAAAGTAGTCCATATGTTTGCAATTTAAAAAAGAAAGATGTTGGAAAAATAGTTCTTGTAATAAAATAATACATTAGAAAAACTTTGGTTTGGTAAGAAAAAAGTATATTTCACTACTACTGCTCGACTCGCATGTAAAACACTATCTCTCCCCGAAATAAGACTTTCGAGAAGAGTATTTATCGCGATGAAAAAAACGGCTTCATCAAACTTAAAAGAATTAATTATCTGATATTTTGTAATCTATTCATTTTTCTAATCTAAACACAGTACGGTTGTACATTTGTTGTAACTTCGTTGATGTCAGGCAAGTAGGTATTGTTTGTGTAGCGAAAGTAGTATGTCAGAAACAGTCACAGATGATCACTATTTGTTTTTGGTGTATGGAAATTTAAGATTTTCGTAGATCTCAGCTGTATGGCCTATTTTCGAATAAAGAGTGATGAAAAGTAACATTTAGAACATGATTAACATTTAGAACACAAAGCATCTATCTATATATATAATACGTGAAGCCGTATTTTGTTAACGCAACTCCTCCCTTATTTGTGGACCAATTTCAACGTTTAAGGTGTCAAAAGATTCGTCTCAATATGTAGTTTTGCAATAAGGTTTTAGAACTTTAAAATTTCTATTCTTTAGGGCGTGAGACCCTCTCAAAGGTCGGGTTTTCCCCATAAGAAATACATTGAACAATTTTAAAAACAAAAAACAGCTGTTTATAAAAGGAAACGCATTATCTCTTTGGGAGTAAATATTAATGTTTTAATATTCAGTAGGTTAAGAACAAGTTAAACAGTTAATCAGTTTTGTTGGAAGAACGGAATATGCCTCAAGTTGAAAGAAGAAATATTGAAAACGGGAGGAGGAAACAATTAATAATAAGGTATCTTATGTGTATGAGAAGAGTAGAGAAATAAAGGTCTAATCTAACAGATACACATCCATATACACATGCACTTGGTGAGATGAATAATATTTGCCAGTTTTGCTATGCAACTTACTTTGGAAGTGAAAAAATATACGAAGCCCATACGAAGCCGTGTTGTCACGGTTGTAAAATAAACTTGCCTAATGTCATATCAAATTAATGTATGCAAGAGATTTTACTTAGGCTATGACACTGGCGGATCGAGATATTTCAAAACATTTATTAGAAACCATAATAATGCCTTGAGTTGATAAGTCCAATTATTAAGATTATACCAAATCTTGGCGGACTTTATGTTTTCATTGTAAACTTTTGTATTACTCGCTCTACTTTAATTGAGGAAAAACACAAATGGATTGTTTACTTCTAGGTTATGTTGCCAGTTCCTCGAAAAAACGTATAAAAAGTTTTTTGACTGAATTTTAGTTGCAATATTAGACATAAGTGAAGGAATTAGTGTTTATGTATTCAACGATCGAGTAGTTAAAGTCAAGTTTATTTTTATGATTAAGGAGAGGCAAATAATATACATTCAAAATTTTGGGACAGGTATTAAGAGAAACCCCACTGAACTACGTGAGGACGTTCTGATGCGAGGCATATACTGTGACTAACACACAACACGTGAAAATATGTTAACAAACTATCAATGGTGTTTCTGCTTTAGGCCATTTAAAGGCTTTCCAGTTGATAACCCAGAGTTTGTGGTTAAAAAATGGAGCACATTAAATGGTTGATATCACTCCACTTTTCAGGATTCTCTACGGAGAAAATTCGTTTGATTAGGGGGATGTCTAGGCAACAGTTTTCTTCAATTCTCAATGTTGGAAAATCTTTGTTGCAACATGTTAGCTCGAATTGAAGCAGATCGTTTAGCATTCATTAGAAGCTATCAGTTAAAACTGAGAGCAGAAATAATGCAGGTGAATCTTGACGACGCAAATAGAGATATTTAAAATTAGTTTCTAACAAGTGCTTAAACAACTCTAAGATGTAGAGGTAGGCCTAACTAGAATTACTCGAATTTAAGCATGGCGTTTTCCTCGGCGTTATATTTCATACTATGCGGCTCGTTGAGCCGCACGGGTTCTCTAGTCAATAATTCATAGCCTAGTGCCAAATAGCATCTGGGTCAATATTCAATCTCGCTTCAAATCAAACAAGCGACCTTCAGATTTGAAGGCTTGCTTTTACTTCTCGGTTTTAGTTATACCATTGACTATGAATTCATAGTCAATGGTTATACTGATTACGGAAATCAAAGATGCCACAAGTTCAAATTATTTAGCTTTTCATTTTGTTGTATAATTAAACATTTTACGTCAGAAATCAGTAGCGTTGATTGACATCAGCTCTGTTGGTCCCGCAACTGTTGCCGTTTTCCTTCTAAACTGAATACAACTTTTATATAGAAATAGAATGTCTACTAGTGTGATTAATTTCCATAGTCAAAGGTTTGATACAAAGTTAACATCTGTTACGCTTCAAAGTGCCACAACACTTGTTTATCCGGGTCAAGTAGTTGATGAAGACCAACTGCGTTCATTTCCCCTACCCCTGCCATTTTCCTCCCCCAGCCATTTCCCGACCCTCTCGTTCCCATTTACAATCGTTTATCATTCTGGATAACTTGCTCCATCAACTTGTTTCTGGAAGATTGGTCAAAAATGGGAAACAAACATGTCGACTGTGTCGCTCTATTCTTGCTTTTACAATATGTTGATTTTGAATCGGTTTGTAGAATTTATTATGTATTTGATTTTATTTTGTGTGATTTCTACGTTAATAGCATCTTTTTAAAAAAAGAAGGTAAATAATATAGTGTATTGTCACAGAAAGTAGTCATTAAGTAAGTATTTAGGTCACTGTGTATTTTCTACTCTTTCAATATAGATGTTAATACTTTTTAAATAGTTTTTGACAAACCATCATTTCACTTGAATTTTTAAAGGTTGATTTTTTTTTAATGTGGACCTCAAATTACAGACTGGTGTCAACGCTAACCGTCCACTCTACAGATTATAAGTTTACAAAAACCAAAGAGCCATTAATATTATTAAGAAATCTCATATATCTTGATTACTTTACTTAAAAAAATGTTAAGTTCTGAGGATTTAAACATTTTTATATTTTTTTTTTATATAAAATTTTCCGATATTCCAGAGTAAGTGTTTGCAAACACTTAACAATAATGTTGAAAACCAGAGCTTGCTATCTCTTCTCTATCCAAAATGGTAGCCACAATTACCATAACATATTGATTTTTCTTTTCTTTTTAATGTATGTTTTGTTTTTTTACATTTGACGGGCTACCATTTTTGATAGATAAGAGATAGCAAACACTGGCTTGAACCATTATTTAACTTTATGTAAACACTCAAAATGAGCACTTGAAGGAAGTTTACATTTTAAATTTGAGCTGCCCCCAAAATCCCCCATTTTTTGGAGACACTCAAAATCAAAAAATGAAACTTCCTGCTATGATTGCATGACCACCAAAAGGATATCTCTGTATATTTATTTAGAAAAATATTATAAAGGGGGGAGCTTGACTGTCTATTCACCCTGTAGTTTTATCAGGACTTATTATTCTGTAACGAACTCAGTTAAAAAACAAACTCTGTCATAGAGGTTGCAGATAAAGCAATAGCTAAAAGGAAAGGATGCTAATTTTTGTACCTATAATACTCCAATTATCACTTAATCCCAACATAATAGTAATCCTAACTTAAAACTTAACCTAACATCAAGAGCTATTCAAACCACTTTACAAAAAGCTGTCACAATATTCTGAAACTTGTATTCATAAAAAACCACAAGAAACCCAACGATTCACAGCGAAACCTGTCACCACATCACCTACTTCTATTGAAATGGTCAGCCAATGGTCCGAGCCCAAAGTGCCTGAGTGCCAGCAAGGTGACCAGTCCAGTGTATAAGGAGAGACAGATAAAGCCGAAGGTGGAAGTGCGAAACAGCATGAGAAAAGTGTACAAAGCGACGTAGGCCACAGCATATAGCCACATCTGCTCTCGGTTCAAAGGGGGCATCATCTGGCTGGCTCTGTGGAGGGTTTGGTGGACTTGAGGCATCTGAGGAACAAAATACAAAGAATTAAAGAGAAATAAGAAGAGAGTTGGAAATTGTTCAATACGGAAGAGTGGTGATAATAGTAGATAGGTGCTGTAGGCTGTGTACATGTATAACCATAACATTTTGGATACTGATCCTATTTATATTTACCAGATTTAATCTAAAAACAAACAAATTTGTGTGAGCCAGAGCTACTAGGAGGTCACAAATTGTGGATATTTATATGCATGCACTGTGGATGCGATACTCCCTGGTGTGGATTAACGTCCGCACGGGTGAGTATTACAACTATGCGCAGTACTATCCTGAAATTATACCAATTTGTATATACCAAGGCAAAAATTTGGTTCGGATTCCACTATAAACTGTAGGTCCCTAGTTGCCATTAGCTGTATGGGCTATTAATTAACAGCTGTGTCTAAGGAATGTCAGCCTTAGTCACTAACAAGACTACAAGATCGTGCCACTCATCCTAAACTCATCTCCATTCATACTTGGCTTAAAATACCTACTTTGTATGGTCACCATTTAATAAGAGTATTAAAGTATCTATTTTCTTCATTATTTGTTGTCGTGATGTCAAAGAAGGCATATTGTACAATAAAACATCCTATCAGTTTTATTTGTTTAAAAAGTCAGCTGATTCCACAGAAATTAGTAATTTAAATCAGCAAAATCTGTCATAGGCTCCTTCCATTAAAAAACTGGCGACAACTTTAACATGGAGATGTAACATCCTATGTCCTAGCTCTATAAATAGTCAAATGTATAACTAGCCAATATAATATTTTGAGATGAGCAATTAAGACGTATTTTTATGTGAAATAGAAGATGGGCATTGGATGAGTTAAATGACTCTGTAGCTTTCTTGCAGACTATCAGCACAGAAAACGTACTACTATACCCAGAATGCCAACCGCATGGTAAAAAGCATTAAGCGGTTTGAGAGAGCTTTGCCTGTCAATCCGTAGGCAGCGCCACCAGCGTTGCCATGCAATAGCATAGCAACGCTGGTGGCGCTGCCTACGGATTGACAGGCAAAGCTCTCTCAAACCGCTTAATGCTTTTTACCATGCGGTTGGCATTCTGGGTTATAGTAGTACGTTTTCTGTGCTATCAGCTGTTTCTTAGTCTGTAAAAATTAACTAAAGATTTTTTACCCTCCCTGATGCAGCAAACCTAAGTACTCATTAAACTAATTCTGTTTAAAAAGGGAATAAATGTGATATTTTTATGGAGACATTTTAGTTTAATCCCATCAGGCAAATGGAAATTCGCTAAGTCTGCAGGTTTGCTGCGGCGGGGGTATTTCAAACAGGTGTGGGAGGGAAAAGTTCCAAGATTATTTCTTAAACACTTTTTGAGTGTTTTTGTCCGTTGAAATATCATATCAAGCACTTACCATAGACCGGCTGGGAGGATGGGCAGGTTGGCCGGGCTGGGGTCTTTGAAAATTGACTTTGTGATTGGGTTTGACCAGAGTTGGAGAAGATTCTGCAGTACTCCCAGTTTTGGTGAAGCTTGACCTTGGAGATTTGTTATCATTCAGACTATTTTCTTTCGATAACATTTTCCTATCATCAATTTCAGTGGTCATAATGAATCAATCAGATATACTATTTATGTCTATCTGTAAAGGGAATAAACACAAATTGTTAATGAAGGCCCTTCCAATCAAATTAAGTATTTTTAGTGAGGATAGCAGGACCTGAATGGGAAAGACTCCAAACCGGTACAAACACTATACACAACACTTAATATTTCATTGTCAGTGACAGCATTTTCAAATACAGTAATTATATTCAACAAATGCTATCAGTGACAGTGAAATATTTTAATGTTTTCTGTATAGTGTAATGTTTATATGTTTTTTTGGGCCAGTTTGGTCTCTACCATTCAGGTACCAAGCCTGATCCTCACTAAAAAATCTTATAAACTTTATGTCCTTGTGATCTGAGCAACCGTTAACATTTTTAAAAGTTAGAGTTTAAATATCTGTAGTAGTCATACTTTGATACGAACCCAGATTTTTGTAGTTTTCATTTCTCTCTTATTTGTGGCTCTCTTACAATTGGGGAGCCACAAGTAATTTCCACACAAGCTTAATAACAGACTAGTGTTCTTATTCATCAAAGTGATTTTAATCTACAAAATACATACTAGGGTAAATATCATACACCTCAGACAAGCTGTAAAATGGCTCTTCAAATAAAACATATAGACCTACTCACCATATAAATTTAAGTAAACAAGTTTTTTGTAAGTTTAGTTTTTTTTTCCATTTTTTGTCTGTTTAAATTATTTTTCAATTTTTAGGTAGGGATTAACTTATTTGGTATAGGTTTGGAACCAATTTACTCAAAATGTAAATAAGTCAAACTTAATACTTTGGAACTATTGTATTAAAAATGTACATTAAGATAGGAAATATTTTAAAATTGATACTTACTGCTGCAGTTATCATTGAGTCAAATTACTTACACATTAATTAAATTGTTTTTAAAAACGATAATTTTAATTACGTATTGTTTTTACAGAAAATTTTGAATTTCAAAACACCAAAATTGTTGAAAGAGTTCTCTTGATTTTACAATGTAAACAATTTACTAACTGATGTTTTCACAGATGTTTTACAAAAAGAAGAGTAGGAGAGGGAAAGATTTATTAAAACCATTAAACATAGTCATACATCTACTGTAGTCATATGTGTATTTTCAATTGAATCATACCAAGGTTTTGTACAAGTGTATGTATGCCCTTAATTCTGGAACAGAGAGAAAGGGACATTACATTCAGTGGTGACCCATACCCACAATGCTTGGGTCATTTATCTCTGTCTCACACATTTGCAAACATACTTTATATCATTCTTTCCTCGCAATATGCAAGCGAAACATTGCTGAATATACGTTGAAGTCAAGAACGTGTGTATATATTTTTCATATAACTTTTTGTTGGTTCAAGTTGTTTGCTATTTGGTAGCCTACTTTCACTTATTTGTTTATTCTATAGCTATGGACTTCCAAATGGGTTTTTAAAGGGTTCTGTATGTTTCAAAGATAAAATATCAATTTATTATCGCAAAAGGCAACTCTCTGTTTCCAGAGTAAAACTTGAAGGACCAAATTGTACATTTTTAGACAGCATGAATATATTAAAAACTGTAATGAAATAGTATACAAATACAGTACAGTCAAATCTATGAACATGTTTAAATTGCAGAGAAACACCTATCATTGACTTTGGATACAGCAAGTAGAGTTATCTGTAAAATTTCAAGAGCACTTTAAGAGATGTTCCTATTGAGTTAATTCTGAAAAAGGCAAGTGCTAAAGGGTGATTTGCAGTTTTTAAATTGTACCGTTTTACTGGAGTAAATCCAAAGTGTTTACTTGAATTATTTACAATTTTGGTGTGAGTAAATTAGTTTCCAACCTACAGCAAAGTTAGCAAACTTAGATTAAATTATTCGAGCCAAAGAACAAAATGGGATGAACAATATTTAGACAATATTATGTTATTCAGTTTCTATCGTGAGTTTTTTTTTATGTTGTATGCTATGTGTATTTTTAAGAGGCATATAATATAACCTACACATCAATTCGGCTTGTCAGATAGAAATTATAGAATTGATTGCTATAATAGCTTAGTCCACACTAGGCGATTTGTCTCCAGAAACTTTGTCGGCCAGTGTCTCCGTAAAGTTGCCTTTGTATCTGAGATGTTTCCAGATGATTGGCTGACTGTCAGCAGACAAATTTATGTGTTTCTGGAGACAAGATACAGTGTTTATTGTTTGCCATACAAATGGGAAACAGGCGAGACAAAATGCAAGTCCGTCTCAAGTTTGTATGTGTCGACGTCTTTGGAGACAGAAAGACAGGATACATACAACCCGAAACCGCTGGTGTTCAGCGTTGAGTTCAGGGCTAAAACTGCAGCCCGGTAACGTGTACATAATCCGTGTAGTTTGTTATCTTTGGCTCAACAAAGCCTTTAACAGAACCTCAAAATCTGTAGGAGTCATTCTTGACAAGTTTCTAAATCCTGCTCCATCTTCTAATCGAAGTCTGATAGTAGATTTTGGCCATATAGTACGAACCTTCCTCGAGAAACTTGTGGATCCACCATATTGTCTTTTCTCGGTACATCAGCCACATTGTTAAGATGTATGAAGCCTGCACAAGATAAATTTGGCCGACTGTCCGCCAACCGTGGGCCGACTGTCCGCCAACCGTGGGCCGACTGCCTGCTGAGTGAGTCTTGGTGTGGACTATGCTTAGATTACCGTCTCTTATAATAGGCTATGTATTGTGCATACACTCCATAGGCCTACTCATTCTGTATTCTCTGTACAGAGAATTCTACAAGAATTGCAATTCATTTACAGTTTCCTAACCACAGATTGGTCTGTTGCAGACTCAACGTTCACAGTGACGTTGCTGAAGACTACACGAGGGCTGGGGCTCAGTGTGACGGGGGGTGTGGACACTGAGGAGCCATGGCCGGGGCTCATACGCATCAAGCGGTTGTTCCCTCACCAGCCCGCATGGCAGAGTGGTCAACTGGCGCAGGGAGACTTTCTACTGGTGGTCAACAACACTTCTCTGGTTGGCCTTACCAACTATGTAAGTAACCTCTTGGATAGCTTTTAGCAAAATAGAGAACAGTATTTGTTGTTGTGAATGTTCTTTATAAGCAAGAAGCCATCACCATAGGATGGTTAGACCTAGACCACTGGCCGATTCACTTTCAAGAGTTTTACGTTCTGTTGTTCCCAAGAGGGGCCAAAAAATATTCGCTAAAATTTTCATTCCCATCTAGTACAGAAAGGTTGAACCCTCATACAATGGTTTTGTCTGTTTTCCACCAGAATCAAATACAGAATAGTTCTGTTAGTTCTAACCCCACGTAATAACAAATTTCGCCCAATCCCAGAACAAATGAAGAAAATATTAGTTCAACAAATTTCTGAGCTACCGCTAAGAAAAGTTTTAAAATAAAAACGTATCCTCTATAAGATGTGTAGGAATACATAGATTTTGGCAGGGAAAGGAGGTTTTTACCCTTCCACTACCCATGTACAACTCGTCATACGAATTCCATCCCCAAAAACAGTTCACTCTTTGGTACATATTGCATCAAAATGTACTAGAATACATACTTAATTACCTGTTCATTAGTCAGAAGTTCAATTGAAATACCCTCGCCACAGCAAACCTGCTGACTAAGCAAATTTCCATTTACCTGGATGGATTTCTACTAAAATATTCCCTAAAAATTCTCAGATTTATTTCCTATTTAATTAACATTAATTTTAGTGAGTACTTAGGTTTGCTGCTACAGGGATGATATTGAGATGTATTTTTATTTTGCAATGTCAATAGCTTAATATTAAATAAACAAAATTTACAAATTTGGTTTAAATATATCCATAAACAAGCAAACTATAGTTCGGCCGCTTAGAAAACGACCTGCGCGCTAATGCTAAACCAATGCTGGAGGAGGTCGTTTTCTAAGCGGCCGACCTATACCTCAGTTTATTTAAGAATAACATGGGAATTTTAAATTTACAATTTTTGAAACTATCTCCGTAACTGTTGGGCATACAACAATGCTTCAATACAAAATTATGCCTTTTTAAGCTTTACAAAATGGTTTGGAGAGAAATTATGAAATTTTTGTGTTTTTAGGGTCAAAAATGGGAAAAATCAATTTTACCCCATAAAACCCCGTTCCCATAGTCCAATTATGCTGGTTCGCAAACTCGTACGAATAAATGTAGGTTTACACATTTGGCTCGAGTTATCAGGCAAACGGACACATATATATGTATATATATGAATTTGAACGGATGGTGTTTTTCTCCTCTAGGGACCTCAAAACGAAAAAGTAAATTGGTCCCGGTTTCAGGCCTTACCATGAGACCTGCGGTGATAGCTTATTCACTATATGGGAAATTCGCTAAAACGAAAGTATTATGTAAAACGTCCTTCGAATCTACTGTAAAATTGATCAAATGGTCAAAAAGTGACAATCCAAAATGTAGTGTGGTTTGTCTAGGAAGCCCTGGAGGTGCTGAGAACTACCCCCGCCGAGGTGGTGCTGACTGTGTGCCGCCCCCCGCCAGAACTGCAAGTGCTAAATGCCCCTACACCAGCTGACAATGCCCTTGCGCCACCACCTCCACGCAGAGACAATGCACCTTCAACCTCCTCCTCTAGTCTACAGTTACCCCTCAAACGCATGGAGTCCTTTGGGGTGAGGATAGAATCAAGATTTTTTATAGTTGTAAGTGGCATTTAAGGGATTACAAGGAGACTGATGCACAAATTGTGCATTTTAATAGAGATCAAACATTTTTTTAGACAAAACGTATCCAGTGCATACTCCTACCCTGCCTACGAAGCTCTTTGGATGGACAATTTTGTAGCGTGTGGGAATATTCAACACAAATGTACTTCTTACGCTCGTCCATTTGTTTGACCTTACCATTGTGGTGTTTCGGTGTTTGGTTAAAAGTTTGTCTACGAGCCCGCTCTTGTAGCCGTTGGATAGGCCTTGTATCCTTGTATCATCTTGTACCCTATGGCTTTATGATATATGCTTAATAATATTGTATTCTTCAATCTGTTTCAAATGCTTTTAAAATACAATCCTAATTTAAACTTCTATAGTAAAAGTTGGTCAATATCACTCTGGTTGTTTCAAAGCGAACTCTAAATAAACCAAACACAAGGGAGCGAAGCTGTAAATAAATAGATTGCAGACATTTTTATCATGATTAGTTTGCAAAAGATACAAACTGTTAATTTCTTCGTTTGATTTTTGTAACCTTCTTGTGAAATTAAATTCCATTTTGTAGCCCCTGAACTGCGTAGTATAGACTAAACTTTACATACTTATAGACTTGAGAATGCCATATATGGCGAAACATATGTAGTGGACTTCAAACACTATATTTGAACTGCAAGACGAGGTATGTAAAATTTAGTTCTTGTGTAATGACATGTTAAAATTTATTCTAGGAATTTGAATTGACGCTTAAAAAAGTAAACGGCAGCCTTGGTTTTACTCTGCGGAAGGAAGATGAGAGTATTCTTGGCCATTACGTGAGAGCGTTGGTCCGAGAACCTGCGTTGTCTGATGGACGAATCAAGCCTGGAGACAAGATAGTGGCTGTAAGTAACTCGTTAAACTTCACCTCTTTAACCTGTATGAACTGAGTGTGAATTTTCTGTAAACTAACATGAAACAAGTTAATTTTACAGCTTGACCAATAATCAGTTTAACTCTAGCGATTATTTACTGACTTTTGTCATGTATTTCATCCTTCAATGTAGGACATTAAAAAAAAATAATAATAAATATTGGCGTTTGGACCTCACAGGTTAATATATTTACTTGATTTTCTGTAACATAGGTGAATGGTGTAGACATGTCGCCAATGTCACATGAGGAGGCAGTGACGTTTCTACGCCAGTGTGGCCAAGAGGTTCATCTGAGGTTGTACAGAGATGCAGTTCAGACTCCTGTACAGGCCTTGTCGCCAACGGAGCATCACCGCACCATCAAACCAATCCTTAGGTAACAAATCTCGGTAGAATAACGTAAATGTTAAGCCTTTTAGAGAATGTTTTGGTTTAAATAGATTTCTCAACTTCCGTGCAGGTTGTTCAGCTTATGCCTTGAGAGATATTGGAGTTGTTATATATTGAGCATAATACTTGTACATTGTTAGAAGAATTACCCCGAGGTAGATCTGAACTGTTAATCATCATATCAAAAAATTGCTTAAGAATTACGTAAAAAACTACAAAAAAAGCAATATTATGTATGTTGTATTTTGCTCAAAATAGACATGTTAAGACTGTTTGAAAAAATACAAACATTTGAATTATCATTTTACATACATGTAATAAATAATAGGAGTTAGTTAAAATTTGTATAATTCCCACATTTATTTCAATACAAAATAGTTCTGTTCCAATCAGTTAAATCTGTATAAACGTATTCTGATAATCTTTTTGTTTTGAAATCCTTTCTTAGTCTAAAATAAATTTGATTTTAACGCTTATCCTCTAGAAATGTCTACAATATTTGTTTTTGGGTACACTACTGTCCACAGTCGAATGCTACTTTCTTGAACTTTGTTAAACACACTTTTTCAGGAAAGAAGCGCAAGACATGCTCAGTGATTTAGCAGTTAAGAAGTCAATGTCACCAAATGAATCCAGTGGCTCAAGCACTCTGAGTAGAGAGGGCAGAACGTCATCACCTCGGAAAAGAAGACTGACAAAAACTCCGTCCCCAGATCTTAGAGGAGGTTAGACTATGCTCATTTACACATTTCTCAAAATCATTTTACCATCTTTTAGTATTCTCTTGGTATTGCTGGTCTTAATTCCAAGATTTTCTCTCTGTATAAAGCTTTTCCTCTTACACTTACTGTCACAGATGTATAAGTGTAATTTATCATACTCTTAGGGACCTTGCCTGAACTAAACAAATAGTCTACAATCCTTCGGAAATTTACCAAACGTTTATGGATATGTTCAAAAACCACACATCATGTGAGGTAACTAAAACACATGTACCATAAAGAAACCTAAAAGAAATGCAGCAATATCAGTATGTCCTAGACACATAGCTTTGGTCAAATCAGGTGTTTGTGAGATAAGGTGACTGAAATGAAGCCAAACAATAGAAAAGATTTGTCCTGAGGTTGGGTGAACAAACAGTTGATCTTATTCACTAACCATAAAGTTCCATAAGCACAAAGGACACATTTTACACTCACCTTGCACAATGAATACAAAACCTTCAAAAAGCGCAATGCCTTTTATTAAAAACTCAATCTGGGAATATTTGAATTTTTGGTTAATTCCCGCGGCGGCCGCTAGGTAGACTATCGCCATAGCTGCGAGGCCAAGTCAGCTTGTGAGAGAGAGTGAGGGTCGCCAGATTTCTACCCCCGGATATTTACCCCCATGAAAAAACGCCTACGTCATTTTGACGTCACGAGGGGCGGGGCTTATACACGGTCGTGAAACAGCCTGCGACTGGAAATCCACCCCCGGACATCTACCCCCAGATATCTACCCCCGGACATCTACCCCCGGACATCTTCCCCCGGAAATCTCCCCCCCCGTGGTCAGCTCTGTCGCGTATCGGCCAATATTCATTGTTGTTATTGATTTTATTATTTGCTTTTGTAAATCAACGGCTCTTCGGTCAATCATTACCCTTTAATATCTGGTATTAAGCATGTGATATGTCATTGCCTTGTTTAACATTATCTATCTTCCTAATAAAATAAGCTGTAATAGCCCTTTTTCACCCGAAATACTTCACTGATATTTATGATTGAAGTGTAATTTTAAATCTTAAGATCCAGCTCAACGCAAAATGGCATTTAAAACTATATGTTGATAAAGGGCTTCAAAAGTGTGACCCTTAAGCATTTGATTCATTTCCAGACAGTGATTTAAATGGTTGACCAACTTTCACATACAATAACAGCTAACAACGCATGCATGAGCGCGGATCGGAAGTGTTTATCACAAAAGATTGACTAATACGATTTTAATACTATTTAAAGGTTCTTCCAAAAGAAGAGAAACCAGTTAACATTGTAATAATAATAAGAGTACGGAATGGGAAATATTTTATATATATGTCATTTTATATGTATATATATTTTATATATATCTCAAAACACCTATATTTTCATATTTATTTGACGAAGACGATTTCTAAAATTCCAATCAGGGAAGCCTTTATTTATCCTGATTACCCATAAGAACAAAGCTACCTTAGTAAACCAGCATCGCAAACAATGATGTGTTTTCTGGTGTGATTCAAATCATGTATTGAAAATAACATCAACAAATAAATCAAACATAGACCAACAACAAACTGCACCACAGCAGCAACAAACTGTTTTTTACACAAAAGATAATGTCATTCTGAGTTTGTTTAAATACCGGAATTGCAATCCGTTGTTTTACATTTGAGCTTTTTAGGGAATTATGTCCCTACAAGCCACTAGTATTATATTATTTTCATAACTTTTTCATCTCCTGTTTACAGTTGCAGACTATATATTCATGTTTTCACAACCTGACTTAAAAATTGATCTGATGAGTAATCTGCTCACATTTCACTTTTACTGTTACTGTATAGTGTAAAAGTTGGTCAACTATTGGAAGCACCTTCTAGGAATAAATCAAAGGCTTAGGGGTCCACCTTTTGAAGCCCTAATCGAAATATCCTTTTAATTACCATTTTGTGCTGCGCTAGATCTTAAGCTTTTAAAAGACACCTCAATCGTAAAAATCAGTGAAGTAGGTCTGGTTGAAAAGGACCGTTACAACTTATTGAATTATAAATATGGATAATGTTAAAACAGACATCGACATATCGCATGTTTACTACTGGATATAAGAAGGTAAAGCAATTTATAAAATCAATTACAAAAATGAATATTGGCCGATACGCGGCAGAGCTGACCACGGGGGGGTAGATTTCCGGGGGTAGATGTCCGGGGGTAGATGTCCAGGGGTAGATGTCTGGGGGTAGATGTCCGGGGGTAGATTTCCAGTCGCGGGCTGTTTCTCGAACGTGTATAAGCCCCGCCCCTCGTGACGTCAAAATGACGTAGGCGTTTTTTCATGGGGGTAAATATCTGGGGGTAGAAATCCGCCACCCCGAGAGTGAGACAAGAATCAGTTTAGAGAGAGAGAGAGAGAGAGAGGGAGAGTAGTGACAGTCGCACAAAGCTCATTTCGGCTGCAAAATTTCAGTCTGGCTATTCCCCATGGTGCTTCTTAAAGAGTTTGTATTTATTGCCTTGCATTTATGGTTAAAAACACCTATATGTGTGTTTTGCTGTCTTAAAATTAAATGAAAATGTTTTAGTTACAGCAAATTCCAATTAAAATAAACCGTATCAGCAATCTGACAAATACTTTAGCTTGTCAACAACCCTTTAAACGGTGGTTAGTTACTATAACTATGTTAATTTATGGGGAAAATCAAAAAAGTTGCAATAACTTTTTAACTTTAATTTTTAGAGAAATGGAGGTTGTACAATGTTGTTTAAGGACTGTTACAAACAAATCAGAACCGTTTGAGCCCTTAAAACAATCCGATTTAACCATTATTTTTTAATAGGGTTTTATGGGAAATCATATAAGTTGCATTAATATTTTGAACCATAATTGTTTACAGCAAAGGGAGTTGTAACATTTTGAACTATTATTGAGCGAAGCTCTTATACGTCGACTCTTATGCATTTCGTAATACGCAAACTCCTCCTAGACGGCTGAATCAATCGTTTTCAAATTTTGCATGGCGATAAAGACCATACCGGTGAGTGCCAACATCTATATGGCGTTAAAAAAGTCTCTCAGGAATCCGCCCCACTGGGTCTCAAAGTTTCAATGTAATCCTTATGGAAGCAGTATTTGACACATAAACAAAGACATATGATCAGCTGTTGACTTTTGAATGCAGTAAATAAAGAAATAGCTGATAGCATTATTTCACAGATATTAGAACAGAAACGGTATGGATCATAAATATAATCAAATGACGACAATAGCTTGAGGTCCGTGGTCCGTGACGTAGGAAGTGGTGAAGGAAGTAGTAAAGGAAGTAGTAATGGAAGCAGTCTGGAGTGTGGAAACTGTTTATGACGGTTAGATTTAGGTATCTGCATTCCTAAAATTCTATGGGAAGGGAGGAAAACCGGTCTCGCGACGTAGGAAGTGGTAAAGGAAGTAGTCAAGGCGAGTTGTCCGGAGTGTGGGAACTGTTTATGACGATTAGGTTAAGGTATCTGCAATCCTAAAATGCTATTGGAAGGGAAGGAAACAAGTCCGCGACGTAGGAAGTGGGAAGTGGTGAAGGAAGTAGTCAAGGCGAGCTGTCCGGAGTGTGGGAAGCTGTTTATGACGATTAGATCAAGGTAGCTGCAATCCTAAAATACTATGGAAATGGAGGGAAACAGGTCCGTGACGTAGGAAGTGGTGAAGGAAGTAGTAAAGGCGAGCAGTCCGGAGTGTGTGAACTGTTTATGACAATTAGATTAAGGGATCTGCAATCCTAAAATGCTATGAGAAGGGAAGGAAACAGGCACCACGACGTAGGAAGTGGTGAAGGAGTATTAAAGGTTGGCAGGGCAGAGTGGGGGAACCGTTTGGGCAGCTAGATAAATGTATCTAATACTTAAATGCTATGAGAAGGGAAGGAAACAGGTCTATGACGTAGGAAATGGTGAAGGAAGTAGTAAGGCTTACAGTGCAGAGTGTGGGAACTGTCTTTGGCAATTACATTAATGTATCTGCTATCATAAATGCTATGGAAAGAGAGGGAAACAGGCCCACGACGTAGGTAGGGGGGGTGAAGGAAGTAGTAAATATGAGCAGCGTCGAGTCGAGTGTAGGAATGGATTAATGTATCTGCAATGCTAAAATGCAATGGGAAGAAACTGTAGACTGTATGTTAAAATGATTACGAAGCACAAATCGATACATATTTTTGATGCATGCAATCGTTTACAAAAAAAATTTACAACTGAGTTGACAACAGCTGATTTTTACTCCTGAGCTGATCCTGGAATGATCTTGAGTGCAGCAAAGGCCTTTTGCACTCGTGTTACACATTATATTTTTCCTACAGTCACTATAAAGCATGTAAATTATTAGTCTTTCAAACACTATGCAACACATTTTTAGGTCCAGCTGGTAACACAAATAGGTGCCCCAGAGAAAGTAGTACCCGCTCCGTATCACTCCGCTATTTATCCACGGCAAGAAATGTGTTCCGCGACTTGAGAATATAGTTCCGTAAGTTTTTGTAATTTGAAGTGGTTTCAGTGCCTAAAAAAAGGCTTTAAAGGTATTTTCTTGTTAATTAAGATCGTAGGAATGTTTTAAAAACGTTTAAAAGAAGATTCCAGAAAGTTCTATAATACCGAAACTATAAACACGAAATCACAGTTATAATAGTCAATCAGCTGCTCATAGTATTATTATCTTTAAGTGTTGCCAACCTATTTCCAAGTGTACACGGCTTGCGTGCATAATAGAATCACGCTGTTTTGTGTTGTTTCGTTGGAATCCTGATGTGCGCCAAAGTATAAACCGTACGACAAAGTATAAATATGCAGCAATTAGCAGCTTTCTGTACTATAAACAGTACAAGGAATTCAACTTTCTTGGGTGACTGTAGGAAAACAATTTTTACTCCCTAAAGAGTAATTTCTAAAGAGTAAAAATGCTACTTTAGACCCACAACGCATGCATTAAGAACGATGTTTTTACTACAGTATGAAAAAAACAATAAAATATGAACCCTTGAAACTCCCCTCAATTTTGTGGATGCCTTTGCAAACGCCACCTAGTAACATACTAAATGGGAATCGGAATTGTTTTTGAAAATCTATATTTCCATTATTTTAAGGGCTTATCGCCATATGTTTAACAAGTACACAAAGTTTTTTAACAAAACATTACCATTTTTCACAGAGAGACTAGACAACCACCTATCTTGGTCAGATGAAGTATTGGAAAGGATATCACCAAGCAGTGACAGTGACAAGCCAAGAAGACCAGACACCTTGAACTTTGGAGCTGAGAGGAAACCGCATTTCCAATTTTCTGCAGTCAGTAAAACTGAAGAAAGTGAGTTAAACTTATAACCTGTAAAAGTGTTGACATAATTTTCTAAATCTTTGAATGATTTATTAGGCAGTAGTAAAACACAAAACAAATATCACTTTATTCTTTTAAATGTCAACTTGATTTCATATTTTCTTAATAGTCTAAATCAAACCTGAGCCATCTAAACCTACTTTGCCTGTTACAGATCTGGCATCTCTAGACAGCCTGGATGGTAGCAGTATAGGAGACCTGGGGGTTGGCCCTCTACCCTCAGAACCTGTCAGTATGCCTCCTCTATTGACATCAACCTCAGACACCACCATCGGCTTCTCCTACCGCAACCCCGCGTATCGGTCGGCCAACCCTGCGCCGTCAAAATCGAAATCTTCACTGTCAGAGGTAAGTTTGTTAAGATTTTAACCACTGGCAAATAAGTATCGGTGATGGTGCTACGCTGAAAGAAAAATGTTGTACCTCTATCCCAATCAGCTTGCTAACCTGACTAATTATTATAATACCTTATCAAAAATCTAAAAGATGTATTTCTGTAGGACCTGCCAGAAAACCGATGCTCTGACAATGACCTGACGACAAGTGCAGGAGGGGAAGAAGGAGGAGACGGCAGCAAGGGACTGCTCAAGTGGAAGGGGGTTGTGTTCACACCAGACGACGGGACGGAAACTGCTACCGCTACTTCACCTGACGACTCCATCAGTCAAATAACAGAGGTGGATGGGAAAGAAAACCAGGTTAGTCTCATAATTGTATTTCCTTGAAAAAAGCTTGCTGTTCAACAGAAGAATCATTTCATTGACACTGCTGACTGTGATATACCATACCTAAATGACAAACTAAGCTGATTTATTTCAAAGTTTAATAGAAGTTGACATAGTTATTAGTTGAGATAGAATAACCTGATTGAAAGAGGAGTGTAGAATAGAGTTAGGTTCTTTATGTACAATCAAAGGCTATCTTGATCTTAAATTTTAGTCAGCTTGTAAGGCTTTTAAATTCCAGTTTTTAACCTTCAGGTGACATACAAATTTTGCAGCGTTCTGTTTGGAAACCATGCAGTTTGAACATTAACCCTCTTGGCTAAATCTGATATTAATTTGATGATTTTTTAAACTATGGATTATGAATAAGTTTCAATCCCAAAATAGTACCTAGTCCAAACAAGGGTGTACAGTAAGAAAAGATGGGCTGGGCAAAGTATCGGTCTGTTCACCTTGAATCCTGCTGTATGCTACAAAGCTATTTTTTATCAGTCATAAAACTTTTTCACTATCTCTATAGCCATTGCTAATTTATTTTTTTTATATATTACAAACTCTAGTACAGTCCAGTGGCGCCCGCGCCCCCCCCCCCCTCCCCCGCGGGCATACATATATATATATATATATTTACTGCATGTAATACAGTAGTGCATACACATTACGTAAATAATTTGTCACACTAACTTTGGACGAAGAAATGGTATATAACTGCCATTTTGTAGACTTAGTTTACACGAATTTTTCGAAGGGTTCACCTGAACCCCTTAGAACAATAGATTATTAAAATTGATTGGCAGTCTTACAGCAGAATCTTGTTTCTTTGGTCAGGTACTGGTGGTAGAGTTAAACCGGGGCTGGAACAGTAGGCTGGGGTTCAGCTTACAACAATCAGGGCGAGACACGCTTATCAGTGCGATCCATCCAGACAGTGTCGCCTCACGAGACGGACGCCTCAAAGTCGGAGACCAGCTGATCATGGTAACACACTTTCTTTTCTACTATTGATTTGACGAGTCAAGTGTTTAGTCTACTTGAGAAGGATTTACTCAATTATTCTTCAACTCAAGTCAGTAATCAAGTACTATACACTTCTGTGGTCAGTACTAGCTGGTGACTCAAAGTGGCAACTCCGAGAACTATTCTGGTTCGAGTCCTCACACTTGGCTTTCAGTGCTGTCGACTCCCAGTGATTCTGTAAACTATGCCCCCGCATTTGTTCAATACATATTCCTGACTCACAACTGCAGCACGAATTAACCACCCATGAATCCATAAACAACCATTTCTAGTAATTAAGTATTATTGAATAAGAATAAAGTCTATTTGATACTTAACCCTTCAACTGGCACAGCGACTATAATAGTCGCGGTAGTCAGTGTCTGTAGTGGCAGCGACTATAATAGTTGCATTTTGCAAGGTTATTTTAAATTGCATATAAACAGTTAAAAACGATCGCTAACTTACATAAATTGTATACCAATCGAAAGATGAGGTTCTAAACTTTCATTTTATTACATAAATAACCTTTATAACACTGATGGATCAATATAACTTAGTGATAAAGTGGAAGAAAATTTCGCGCGAAGTCAGTTTCTCTATATAAGCATCACAAAACTACCGAAAATGGATATTTTCAACAAATAATAGCAAGGGGTATTTTTAGTCTACGGAACAGCGGGTGGTACCACTGCATCCGGCAGTTCATTTTCTATATCGAGATATATAAATTATATCGATATCTTTATAAATAACTCAAATAGAAAAATAATACCTCAGCCACCTTTTTACGTGTATTTGAACTGGCAGCGCGACTATTATAGTCGCGGTAGTAATTCACATATGTTTCAACGAAATTTATAACTTTTGTTATAATGACATATACCATCTGATAGCCCATGAAATTCTGTGCATAGTGGACTTTTGTTGCCGTATGTTGCACAACCTGTACCAACGTCATCACTTGTTGTTTACATGCAATTTATCTTCTTCACCTGTTCACAAGGTTATGGGAATTTCACCGTTTTTTAGTTTTTTTGGCCATAACTCAGCCAAAAAAAGTTATAAATTGAATGATTTTACTTTTTTATGAACAGAAATAAATTGCTAACATTTTGTATATCTTGGATTTCATATAAAAAATTTTCTGCATTTGCAGCACAGTTTTGCTTTCAAATTTTCAAATTTGAAAAAACAGTTTTTTTTGTTTTTTTTTTTTGTTTCAAAAATTATTCTTCCAACTACTTGCAGTTTTACCATTTTCAGATTCTTCACTATTTTACGAACAATTCAAGTATATAGTTCATATGGTTTACTTTATTAGTTCAATTTATATGAATTTTCAAAAATATGTCTGCAAAATCACTAAAATGGCCTTGCCACTACAGACTTTTCTATGTGCCAGTTAAAGAGTATTAATGTAGGCTACTCAACACAGCTCATCACTATTTTCTAATGTAACTTCTCAACATTTTCTCTTTACCTAGATCTTTGTAGTCCAAAGAGCACGTACCAGAGTAATAATTTGTTGCAATTGATACAATGACAAGAAGTTCTAAAATGTTAACTTTTGTTTTAATGCTATGACTCGCCACCCTAAGCTCTCAGTAGAAGGGGGAGAGGGCTCACTTCTACCCCGGGGATAAACCTTTAGTTTTAGTTGTATATCTAAACTGTAACAGCCCAATCGCCCACACTGTAAACAATGTTATGTATACTCCTGTTGTTGATGATCCCCACTAAACTAGAATATATTTTAGATCAGATTTGTACAAAATATACAATGCAAAGAAGTAAATCAAGGAAATATTAGAACATAGAGAACATTTTTCTAGATTCAAAATAAAACATGTTCTGCACATTTCCACAAAAAATTCAACTCTTTCATTGATACATACAACTTGTTGTGCATTAAAAAGCCTTTAAAAAAGCTAAAAAATTTGGATACAAGTTGAAATACAGAGTTAATTTAAGAGTCCTTGAGGCTTAGCTGTTTAACTCATAAAAAATTACAAAACTAAAAAGAATTTTTTTTAATTTCACAGTAGATTTGTACAGATATTTAATTTTAATTTTAATTTTGTACAGATATTCACCAGATATTTAAATTACAATCACTTTGGTATTCAAGAAAAATATTTTTAGATGGTAAATAAATGCCTCTTCAGCGGCTGTTTAAAATCCAAGATGGCCACCAGCCTCCAAGGACTCTTAATGGTGGATTAAGCTTTCATTATTCATGGCCTTCTATGGCAACTAGAAGAAAATGTAAGCATTTTTTTACATGCTCACACAGCTAACTCAAAATCCGAAGAGAATTTTTGAGACAATGTGGTTCCGTTTCTGTTGTGTGTGGTCAATAGTAGAGGTGTGTAACAGTATTCTTCAGAAGAACTAAATTACCGTATTTTTCACGCACCTAGTTGAAAAGCTTAAGTTTAACTTAAAATGTTAACTTTTAGGTTAACGATGAAAGCATTGAAGGGATGTCCACGGCTGAAGTCATTGATCTTCTCCGAAAGATCAGAGGCAGCATTTGTATCACCGTTTGGCGGAAACCATCTTAAGACAATCATCTACTCTCTACAATGACTCCCATCATTTGATTGCCTTACTATGAGTTTAAAAGATTCCTAAAGATTGTATAATGTATTTAATCTAATTTTCCACTATATCAATAAAAAATATATTTATAAATCCTCGTCGATGGCATTTTGTTGTCTGAGAATGACTGACTATGAATCAAATGTTTTGTAGAATAGTTATAGGCTATGTTTTTGTTTGAATTATTGTATGTTTTGTTATTTATTTGTGTGCAAAACATTGATGCGCATTACAATTTGTTAAACAAATTTATAAAAACAACCCACAATTTGAAATATTTTTAAGAGTTCATATTTTGTTGTAAAAATGTGTTTACAAGTCAATTGAAGTTTGTATGAGCTCATAGACATTCTGAATATTTACTTTATTAAGTTTTTGAGTGTTTAAAATTAAATTTTTCAAATTTTACCTTGTAAAAATATAAAATTATATCTCATATGTAGTGGAGACCAGAAATTACTAGCTTATGATAAATTCAATTTACAAAGCTCCCTAGTCAAATGTATCTACCACCAATTGCAAAACGTTGTGTAACTTTGTATATAAAACAAAGTAACCAATAAATAATTTTATTTATTTATTTACTTAGTCTGATTATCTATAACCTACTAAAATGTTGAGAAAAGTTTCATTTCGTTATCAATGTTACGCCTTTCTGAACAAACTACATTACAACTGAGTAGGAATGTTGAAAGAATTAAATGCATAATATCTTTTATGGGATACAAATTTTTGTTTGCAAATAATTATTAGGAATAAGAATGAGTAATTCAACAAAAATTAGGAATGAGACTAACAATTAATTCAGCAAAACTTTTCTTGAACGACAATCTTTTCATACTATTAATAGTTTTAGATGTTAATGATTCGTTAAACTTCAATATTAAAAATGAGACAGTAAAAAATCAGATGTTGAATTATTTCACAATTTTCATTACTAGTCCATGAGCGACTGAAACTAAAATAACGTTAATACTGTGGTTCGTTTTTGTATTCCAAATAATATTTTGTTGCTGTCTGTTATCATAGAAATCCTTTGTATTAATTTAATAGGTACTTTGCTAATAAATGTTAAGTGTTTATTCTAATCATTGATGTAAATAAAATGTAGTTGACGTACTAAATCAATAAGTTACCAAGAGTATTGCCCCAAATCTAAATGTACCTAAACTAGAAAGTAGAGTTTAAATGTAAAATGTGAGCAATCTTCTGTTGCTAAAACACTGAGTTTGATGGAACTGAGATCTGTAATTTTATTGATTATTCCTTGTTATAAATAAAGCTGCAAAAAATTTTGAAAAAAAGTACATTAACCACTGTTTTAATTCGTATATTAATCTTCATTGAATAGGATACGTGTTTACTTAAGGCCATGTCACACCGACAGCCGCCGCTCCCGCCACGGAAGAGTACCGCCCACCGGACATGTACTGTATGTATTGTACCCCACATGGACGTTTTACCTCGAACCTATCACACCAAAATACCGTGTAATTCGTTCCGGTTGTATGGTCAGGCTAGCTGTCATAAGTTTTGCAAAATTTTGTTAGTATATAAGAGTTGTGAATCTCTAATTTCATTAATATTAACTTATCTTTAGTCAATTCAAGAACATACAAATTTTTAATTTTATTGCAATTGATTTTCAAACAGTTTGTCGTTTACGCTAGAATCACAGTGGCATTCTGAACTGATCGTGTTGGTGTCTATGATCATTTCCTTGTGATAATGGTAGCATTGTAATCAATTACGTATCACAATAATATTGTATTGTGACCTTCCAATCCAAAAATTCAGTAAATTATTGAAATCCTGCATGAAATATGGAAATAACAATTACCTAAAATATTCTAATATGTTTAGGACTTGAAAATAAATATTCAACCTCTATCACTTTTACTGCTATTACAATAACAGCAGTATTGTGAGTTGTGATAAGGTAGAAAATGACATTGAAAACTGAATGTGAGATTCAATTCTCAATAGCAGCAGCTTGAATCTGGAATTTGAATCTTTTATTGATATTCCTTGTATTCGAGACTCAAAACTGCACTTATAAGTTTATTTATCAATGAAATGTGCAAGTTAAAGAAAATCTCAATTTACTAGTCATTTAATCCGATATATTTTTAGAGCACTTATATTCTAGTCAGACTTTTTGATCACTTCTAACAATTAACTGGGGGGAAATTTTAAAACATACTTAGTAGCAAGAGAAATGCTCTTTAAACAGAATATCTGCAGCTTTATGCTTTGGACAAACCTTCTATACAACATCAAAGTTGCCTTATAAAGTATATTTTTAAGCAAAGTAATATTTATTTATCTATAAGACGTTGGGGCTTTTTTGAACAGTGATATGCATTTTACGCCAAAGTTGTATATCAAGGTTTCATGACATCTATAGTTTATCACATTAGAATTGTTTTGTAGGAAGTAAAGTTGTTGTTTGATTAAAATGTGTGCTTATTTTAATACCAGGATCAATCCTCATTTTGTTTCTTAGTTATATTTTTGCTTCAATTCAGCCTAAGAATACGTAGGCTACATTATTCTTTAATCTAACATTCTAGTACGGTTCTTAAACTTTTTCTAGTTGATTTTTTTTCAAGAAACATTACTTCACTGAATGGTTAAGGAGAGCAGTCCGTGAAAATGCCCAAAAAAATAAATTTTCAATAAATGATGGTACAAAACATTGTGTATTTTGTGCCGTTTAATAAAATGTATAACACTTTATACTTTGGATATTTTTCTATAAAAGAAGGAATCTTTAATCTTCCATTAAGATACATTAAGGAAACTACCCATTTTCCTAGGATTTCCTGATTTACTAAGCTTGTAATAGGTAGTCTAATCTTAAATCAAACTGCATTTTTGAATTTAAGAAAAATAAAATAATAATTATCTCAGATTTTTTAAAAAGGGCCCTTCAGGATTCTACTGAGCCTTCCAAGGGTTCAAATGTGAATATCCGAAAGTTAGTTTTTATAAGTTTAGGTACCATTCTAAAGAAAACTACTAAACTCATCATGTCCAAATTTGACACAATGCTTCCTGTTACCATGGTGAATAGTTTCATGCACTTTTAGAATGTTAACATTAATTTTACTTTAAAAATAAATTGTTTATTATAAAAATACCCCCGCCGCAGCAATCCTGCAAACTAAGTGAATTTCAACATGTCTGATTACATTTATACTAAAATATTTCCATAAATAAGACAAATTTATTCCAAATTTAAATAACGCTAGCTGTATGCCCGTTCTACGCACGGGGATCTTATAGTAGTCAGTTGAAACCTTATTATATTAAGAACAGCAGTTGGTTTGCATATTTTCAGATATGCTGGCAAAACTATTACACCTTCGCAAATACAGTATCTGACAGTTTCAAGCCAAAACAAACGCTTCGCAATTAAATGTCATGTCACCCTATATGACAATCACCTTCCACTATGGTCGATTTCCTCACCATTTAAAAGTTGTTTGTGAAAAGCTAAGCAACCTCCGAATTTATAGTAACTAGGTGGTGTTCGCAGAGGCATCCACAAAATTGAGCGGAGTCATCAAGGGTTCGTATTATATTGTTTTTGTAATACTGCAGTAAAAAAAGTCGTTTTTAATGCATGTGTTGCGGGTCTAAAGTAGCATTTTTACTCTTTAGGGTAGGGAGTAAAAATCGTTTTTAGCCTATATGGAGTAAAAATCAGCTGTTGTAAACTCAGTTTAAATTTATATTGTTAACGATTGCATGTATAAAAAATATGTATCGCTTCGTGCTTCATAATAATTTTAACCCACAGTCTACAGTCTCTTCCCATAGCATTTTAGCATTGCAGATACAATCCATTTCCACACTCAACACTGCTCACCTTACTACTTCCTTCACCTCTTCTTACGTCACGGACCTGTTTCCCTCTCTTCCCATAAAATTTTAATATTGTAGATACCTTAATCTAATCGTCATAAACAGTTCCCACACTCCGGAAAGCTCGCCTTATATACTTCCTACACCACATCCTACATCTCAGACCTGTTTCCCCCCTTCCCATAGCATTTTAGGATTGCAGATCCCTTAATCTAATCATCGTAAACAGTTCCCACACTCCGATCAACTCGCCTTTACTACTTCCTTCACCACTTCCTACATCGCGGACTTGTTTTCCTCCCTTCCCATAGCATTTTAGGATTGTAGATACCTTAATCTAATCGTCATAAACAGTTTCCACACTTCGGACAGCTCGCCTTGGCTACTTCCTTCACCACTTCCTACGTCGCGGACCTGTTTTCCTCCCTTCCCATAGCATCATAGGATTGCAAATACCTTAATCTAATGGTCATAAACAGATCCCATAAACCGAACAGCTCGCCTTGACTACTTCCTTCACCACTTCCATAATTTTAGGAATGCAGATACCTAAATCTAATCGTCATAAACAGTTTCCACACTCCAGACTGCTCACCTTTACTACTTCCTTCAACATTTCCTACGTCACGGACCTCAAGCTATAGTGTCATATTTTGATTATATTTATGATCCATACCGTTTCTGTTCTAATTTAAACATCTTTGCCACCAAGACTGATATTCGAATATATAATAGGTTACGTACCTTGTTCCGTCTTCAGTCTTAACTTGTCTATGGATGACTAGTTTCGGGTACAAAGACCCATTATCAAATCCTTATTTAAAACATCATATTGAATATGGTCAAATATCCGACGTGAGTCTTCATCAATGTATACATGCAGGTCGACGACACATAAAGTTTACACATTTAAAAAACAAAAGTTACAAATACATTTACGATAGGCCGGCCACATTGAATATGGGACAAACCATGTACTACTACTACCAGGTTACTACGGGTTTGTCCCGTATTCAATGTGGCCGGCCTATCGTAAATGTATTTGTAACTTTTGTTTTTTAAATGTGTAAACTTTATGTGCCGTCGACCTGCATGTATACATTGATGAAGACTCACGTCGGATATTTGACCATATTCAATATGATGTTTAAATAAGGATTTGATAATGGGTCTTTGTACCCGAAACTAGTCATCCATAGACAAGTTAAGACTGAAGACGGAACAAGGTACGTAACCTATTATATATTCTGTTCTAATATCTGTGGAATAATGCTATCAGCTATTTCTTTATCTACTGCATTCAAAAGTCAACAGCTGATCATATGTCTTTGTTTATGTGTCAAATACTGCTTCCATAAGGATTACGTTGAAACATTGAAAAATAACCTTACCAGCCCCGTTCCCATGGTATTTCCAAATGCTTAGGTTTAACACTCATGGCGGTCCTTTTCCTTCGAAATGAAAATTAAGTTGTAAAAGCTTCTTGTCACATTTATGATAGGCCCGATTTAGTTCTCTTTAATGTTTGCCGCGCATAGGGGCTTTGTCCTTGAAAGGAACTGCAGACGTGGTGGCATTCTTTGCTGCTAAATGAATTTTCCAGGCACAGAAACCAAATATATATTCTGTGTGGATATATATATTCATAGATCTATATATCCATATGTGTATATGTTTATATGTATTTATGAGAAATCTTTTGTCTCTCATATAAGACTCGAGTATTATGGAAATGAAATCAAAGTTATACAAGCTTTTAATATTGTGCCAGTTTGGACTCTTTCCCATTCAGGTAAGCCTGCTATCCTCTCAAAAAATCCTAAAAAATCTAGGCCCTTGTGCACTATGCTACACCCTCAAGCTTTGAATATGTATGCTAGTTAAATGTACCTAAGTGTAGGACATCATGCGGATTTGATAGTCCGAGATATCAAAGAGTAGGTGTCAAGTACTTTCCTTCTACGTCAGTCGGAACTATTACAAGTCACAAACTAGTCTAAAGACAATTGACTAACATATATGAATTTCCGAATTAAAACATAAATGTAAGAGCCCCCTTCCTCTAGCAAAATGTCCATTATTTAAATCCCTGAATGCCCACTGTGTATATTTACAGTTTTAATATATTTATATTTAAAAAATAATAATAATTTATATTACCTCGCTTTTGCACCTGTGCTTTGCCAAAGAAAGAGGTCAAAACAGTAACATTTGATTTTTACTTCTGTCGTATAAAATATTCTCACATCTGCCAACAGTTTTAGGAACAAATTAAACCAAACCAGTTAATTCGAAAAAGGATTATGCCTTATTAATTGGGTAAGTAGTGAAAACCTTCATTTTGGTTTTAATTTGTGTTAAATCTTGTATTACATGAAATCCGTTGAGAGTATTCAAAGGGCTACATTTGAGGTTCCAAGCAAAACCATTTAACAGAATGAATCTATGATTTGTATCTATCGATTTCCGACGTCATTCGCCTATTGGGTCTGACGATGATTGGAGTGTCCAATCGAAATCGATCACCACTTACCATCTTTTGTATATTTACCGTCTTGTGAGTAACAGTATAAGCGTAAATATATGTTTTAAGTGTTATAAGACGTATCTTTATTTACTTTCCGTAAATTTAATAACACGTACAATGCTGACCAAGAAGTTATTTAAAAATTAAAAGTAATAAAAATAAACCAAAAGAAGACAAATTACTTGCTAAATAATAAATTGGACAGAACTCAAGGAAGATATAAAGTCTTTTATATAATTTAGAAATTTATTGAGCTTTTCAGCTTAAGAATAAAGTACAATGATAATATGGAGTGTTTCAACTCACTCAAACTTAATGCTTAAACGACAACATCCAAGGAATTTTAACTATAACAAAAAATTATCCAAATTTGTTCAAGTTGAAAAAGTAGCCAGCACTAAGCTCATACTGATAAATCTGAATTAAAAATTGTACCAAAGGTTTATTATTTTTGCTTTACTTACACGGAAGAGGAAAGAAACACTACTACTAAAAAATAGTCATCGATAAAACAAATCTAGAAAATTGAAAATGGAATGTTTAAGGTTATTTTGAGAAGATTGGTCGAATGTCAATATTTAAAATCAATCAAGATGAACTGTTACACTTATGGGAGATAAGGTCAATTTCTACAATTAGAGTTCCAAAAATATGTACATAAAGTATTTACAAGAAAATATTTGTAGAAATTCAGCCAATTTAGCCCATTTTCTGGATGGTTCACTCTATTTATATTAAAAAGACAATTCCATCAGCCAGCATCACTTGGTTTGCCTCAGTCAGGCGTTCGATCGCAGCAGCAACTTCCCCCTCTCCGTACGGCGCATCTGCGCTCAGACCATTGGCGAACTCGACCACTCGAGTGAGGGACAAGGACTGAGCTCTCTCCGTCCTAAATACCTCTACCACACTCGACTTGAACGCTTGGAACCTGCAAGGATAGGTCGGAATTAGTTTTGGGCTGCACTCAAATTCTTCAATATATCATGAGATACCGTTATAGTAGTTTACGCAACAACTGCGTAGAGTTAGCGTTAACTAAACAAATAGGGGTGTGTGATGCATCAAAATTCCAAATCAATTTGTTTCAATTCAGAGGTGGTAAAAAAACTATTAGATTTATGAGGGAGTCAGTCCATATTTGAAAAACGCCTGCAGAACGTCAACACATTACCCGCAATACAGGAGCGTGTTGTTGCGTTTTCTTTACAAAGGCGTTATTTTTTAATTAATTCTGATTGTTTTAGTCTATAATTTTATTTTTGTTTTGACATTGCATTGCAAATGATAAAAGTTTTGTTAAGTTTAAGCAGCGTGAGACATATTTTACTACTGTAAACATAGCCAAAACAAGTTACTCTAGAATCGTTCTAAAAATACCACAAGTCTGAAAAATGTTTACTTTTTGCTTATCTTTTGTAAAATTTCTATTATGTTTTATATTAGATAAAAATTTAGAATCTTTACAAGTAAAACTGATGTTTTAGACTGATTGATTTGATATTTGTGTAGGTCTATGTCTATACCTTGTAGTTTGTAGGTCTGACCCTATCCTCTCGTTTTATCAACATAAACCAATTGCAAGTTTCAGTGTAAATCTTAAAAATGTTTTTAATTGTTTACTCCAAATATTATCTTTATTTGTAAAATCAATATTATAAAATAGGTAACATGCTTATCAATATGACTCTACAAGTCAAGATTTTGGAATAGGCAAGTAAAGCAGCTCACTGACATTTCCAACAATACAGGTAGCCTATATATAATTGAAAATGATATTTATTCACCTAAAATTCATGTCATATGTATGAATAGGCCTAATACCACATAAAAAATTGCATTACACAAAATGTGGTTAATTTAATTTGTTATTATTTCCCTCCATTGACAAGTATTAATAGAAAAATGCCATATTTTTTCGAATCGAGTTGCATCGATTATTTGAGTGAAAAGGGTTACCAAGTAGTGTTACACAGCAACCTATAGAGCGAAGCAAAAGTCTTCTAAATCATAAAATAGGCCACTCAAAGACCAATTAGTATAACTCTTGATTAGATTATTGAGTGTCAGTATGGTGAGTTGGTGGCGAAGTCGGAATACTGACATACTATAAAAACCAAAGCAGCAAAGTCATAGGTTTGCGTCTTGAGACCACTACTTGAAATTGATCAGCACGTCCATCCTAACCGCTCACTCCTTTCTGGTTTAAATATTCTTCAGGGATTTTAGACCCATGTCTCCAAGAAAATGAAAGGTCAATAAAGCTGCCAACCTCTAAAAAGTTGCTATCTTACAAATTATGACAAACACCAAGGCATACCGCTCAGTGGAGATCTCAGTAGGGGCAGCTAAGGCGGGGGTTGCAGAAGGCCCGGCGTCCCTGTCTAGTAGTTCTTGCTCCGTAGGTTGACTAGACTCCGCCGGCTTCTTACGAGGCGTGCGGCGGCGCTTGGTGGGGCTGGGCTCTGAACCCGTCTCGTCATATGTGTACGGGTCTGGTGTTCCTTCCTCTCCAGTCTGGATGGTTGGCTGGGTCACCTAGGAATAATAGCGGCTCATTAAAAATTTTTATTTTCATTAGCTCGCTTTCTTGTCTGTTACAAATTTTGCAATCGATTTTAAACTAACTTCCCAACGAGCTGGAGACTTGAACCTTCAACCATAGCTCACAAATGGATGACAATGCGATATTAACCCTCTAGGTGTCAATTGACGTAATTACGGGGACTACTTTTTTGTCACAAATATCAATCGCCGTAATTACGGTGACTTGACAGGCCTAGGGTTTCAGTTGATATAGGCTAATCTCACAAGATCGAACAAACCCGGTCATTGGGCATACTAACGTGTTCAGGAGATTCTGGGCTTCATGGTAAGTATAAAAGACGGCCGTTTCCCGAACTATTTATCTTGTTCTGTGATAGTTTTTCCATATGTCATTGTTTGTTTCGGTTGCTAGTGAACGAATGTTTAGGTCGTACTGTTGTTGTGTGTCGTGATTTTTAGAGTTATTATAAAGAAAAACAAGATGAAACTATATATTTTCTTTTTCCTTATTACATTTAGAATGAAATTTATACCTCAGTTTTAGTAAATATAGTGATTTTTTTCTACATGTGCGGTTATGTAAAAATTTAAAAACTTTTTTTGGAACATCTGGATTTGTACCAACAACAAATTTCTTTTATACAAGGTAAGACACAAATATCATACATTTTTAGAGAGACAATTTTAATTGCTTTAAGAAAATATACAATCCTACTAATATTATAAATGAGAAAGTTTGGATGTATGTTTGTAACAAGTAAACGCGAAAAATACTGGTCGGATTGTGCTGAAATTTGGTATGATGATAGCTCACATTCCCGATTAACATATAGACGCATTCTTATCTCAAAAGTCCTTTCAGGCTCCGCCCCAGTGGCTCTGGGAGAGAGAACAATAAGTAAAATAGGTAACATAAAAAATGGCGGGAAGCAAGCACCTGTTCATCAACAAGTCTTGCCAAAAATCGGATCAATCATTTAAATATTTACAGAAATCTGTAGCTTAGGTCCAGCACATGAACAACACTTTTTAATCTGGTAATGCACTGACTATTGTCCAGCATATTAACAGCAAGACTGTTCGGATGATATCATTTATTGAGGTCAGAGCTGTAAATACTTTAATTTGACAGTTTGTTCAAAGAGCAGAGGTTAAGAGGTACAGAGGTTCTGCTCCCGAGAGTTTCAAAGTTTGTTATATAAAATATTTCATATCACAATTCAAACATATTAAAGACTAAAAAGTAAAAAATAATTGATAAAAAAAGCTTTTTAAAATACCACGTTTAAAAAAAAAAGTAAAAAATAATTTATAAATATATAGAGAGAAAAAATGATGTAAGATTCAAACAAAAAACAAGGGGCACATACAATAAGTGAAGACAATAATTGTAAGTTATCTATTGCATGTGCCCCACGTTTTTAGTTTTAAATCTTACAGTATTTTTATCTCTACATATTTAAAAATTATTTATGACTTTTTAGTTCGTTTAAAAAATGGTATTTTAATTAGCTTTTTTTATTTATAATTTATTAAATAAGAAATTGACAACTTCTGGTTCATGTCGATGGAATGCCTATTTCAGTATTCAAATTGTGCTTAATCAATCAACGTTGTCATACTAACCCCTCCTTTCTCACGACGGGACCTCTTGGATCGCTGGGAAGAAGTTTCATCGTCTTCTTCACTATCTTCTTCTTCTGAGTCAGCAGCTCCTGCTCGCCTTCTTCTTTTCTTCTCCTTTTCCAACACCTGTTAAAGAAGTTTGAATATAAAGTGTTGCTTTCAGTTTAGATAATGTTGTTGAAGGTGTAACGCAGGTTATTAAGCCAGGTTCATTTTCAAGTAGTTTTAGCGAATTTCTCTATAGGGAAGTAGCTATTACCGTAGGTGGCACGGTAAGACCTAGACCCGGGACCGATTTACTTTTTCATTTTGATGTCCCCAGAGACCAAAAACACCATTCGTTCAAATTTGTATATATGTATATATATATATATATCTAATATATAAAATTCTCGTGTCACAGTGTTTGTCTGCAAACTCCTCCGGAACGACTTCACCGATCGTTATGAAATTTGGTGTGTAAATTCTGTAGGTATGCGAATCGGACGTAAACTATTTCCCGTTTCGAAATTCTTAAAAGGGCTTCTTAAAGGCTTTAAAAAATATGTTTATTTAAAAATTGGTTTTTCTCACTTTTGACCCTCAAAATACAAAATTTCCCGATTTCTTTTTAGACCTTTTTAAAGAGCTTAAAAAAACAAATAATTTAGTATATAAAAGTATTTTTGTTCGATTATTACTAACAGAGAAAATTAAAAAAATTGTAAATTTAAAATTCCCATGTTATTCTTATGGAGAATATTGTCAAATGTTGTAGTTTGCTTGTTTATGGATATATTTTGATCAAACTTGGCAAATTTATTTATTTTGTACCAAGCTATCAATATTTTACTAAAAAAAAAAAAAAACACTTTATTAGTTTCCTTGTAGCAGCAAACCTAGGTACTCGTTAAACCTAATGTTATTAAAATATATTTCACTGAAAATCAATTCAGACAAATGGAAATTCGCTTAGTCGGCAGGTGTGCTGCGGCGGGGGTATTTAGTTTATTTACCCTGGGTAAACTGAAGCAATGTTTATAATTATACTCTTATCCTATTTCTCATTACATTTTTAATAGCAGATTTTTGTAGTTTGTGGCAGATTTAAAGGACTTTTTTATAATTGGCACAAGCTCGTTTGCATTGCCTACATGGGCAACTAAATCTACATAATTTCTAAATCTTATAAAAACAAAACGTATGGATACCTTTTTGAAGTAGGCAAACTGGACCAGCTCAATGGCAGCCTGAGCATCTTCTAGTTCTACATGACGAGAGAGCCTGGCCTTGGCGTGAGCTGTGGATAGACGAATCAGAGTCTCCAGTGTACGTACTGTCACTGGTTGAGTCTAAACAGTCAGTCGATATGTGTTAACAATCAAATTAGAGTAATTAATAAAAATAGATTCTTTATTTAGATGTATACAACAAGTATATACATTGATGGTAGTATCATTGTAGTGTTCTTGAAATATGGTCGACCAAAGAAACAAGTACAACATAACACAATTGAAATAAAATTGGCCTATCAAAATAGTATAGTTTGAGGGATGTGTCCGAAGATTGTATATTTTGAGGCTCTTTGACTGTTGGATGATTACATTTGTTAGGTAACACATATGCAGGTTTCACCCTGTCTAAGCTCACTCGTACTTGCCATTCTGTGATATTACTAAGGATTTTTAATCACGAGAAATTACAGGATATGGTCCGTTGTAGGGAGGCTGTAGAGCACGTTTCACAGAGTCCATCTCTTAGGAAAACATCGGTGCACTTTCTAAGATCCTGAAATATAAAAGTCTTGGGTTTGACGTGGCGTGAAGCTTGGACAGGTCTGATTGAAGACATGTGTTGACGGAGTCGTACAACATAATCAGTAGGATCTTCATGCCTGTGTCCGTCAACAGGGAGATCAATGCAAAAGGCACGGTGTTGTACTGTCCAACGATCCATGATTACTCAAATGGCATGACATTTGTTGTTTTTTATTACAACAATGAAAATTCTACAAGTAGCAACAGCTGATTGACATATTGTTTAAAAATGATCCGTTATTTATGGACCACCCTTTAGCTACTTCTTGATCAAGTTTGAAACAGTTACCCTTGCAACATCTGACTCCATGAAGTCTTGGGATCTCAGTCTGGAGTATTCCTCGGAAATGGCATCGGAAGCCTCCTCGGTCAACACAGGTTTCAACACTTTGGCTATGTGGATGTACTTCCTCATAAACTTCATGCTGAGTATCTGGTCACTAAACAGATATTTGGAAACATATATTAGGTGAAATAGATGTAAAGGGATAGGTTTTGATTTATATTACTACGAAGAATCTTCTGACATGTATCAACAAGTTACTGGAAGATTTCATCCGAGTATATTGTCAATATTACAATTATTATCAAACTTTCATATTCATTATTTCAAACTTTATCAGTGAATAAAATAAATATAGGCCTACTTAAATTAAAATTGAAATTGAACTCGGTGAGATAAATACGAGTAAATTCACGATTTCAGAGAAACTTAAAAACAACTGGGACAAAGGTCTCCTTAATTCTCATGCAATAATATATTTTCAATCAGACCTAATTAAAAATCTTATTAAATACATATCAACCTAGGTTGGATTTTTTACCAATCAATATTACACGTTACCGTACCATTACCTATTACTAACAATTATCATTTCCTATCCCTAAAAAAAATTTAATCATTGAGGGTGAAACTTACGTTTTGGATCGAGTGCTTCCATGCAGCAATGGGTCGTATTTCTCCCATATCGGAGTGTCAATTTCGTCCGACCCAACGTCAGTGCCTGTAGTCAGCAAATCCACAGCCGAGCCCATCGGTAGCACTTCACCGTCCTGCTCTCCGGGATTCCTACCAAACAAAGAGCAAAGAACGTTTATCCACCTATTATATTGGGGAAATATTTTGTCATTGTCAATGTAAACTGGGCTTGGCAGGGTCAAATAGATGAATTGGTAATATGACACTAGAAAAAAATATAAGACTACTGAAAAGATAAAAGACTTAGGCTAATTAAACTTACATTTCCTTAAACTTACATTGCCAAACCTAATCAATGCTTTTAGTGAGCCTCTCATATAACTCGATTCTTGATACCACTAATTCTTGGACCTTGGTACCGGGATCAAGTATCAATCAGTAACCAAAACGTCTGTGAAGATCTCGACATTAAAAAAAATCACGCTGTTGCCACGAATGCGGATGAGGATGATAACATTCTTGTGACCGCGGGAGATGAATGGTGGCCATTTCAATGAAAAATATTAACCACATGACCGTGGGAGATGTTCACACATTTGCTCTGATTGCATTACCATGACCGCGGAAGACGATGATCTTGTTCCAAGACCGCAGAAGACTACGATGTCTACACACGACCACGGGAGATGTTTATATATTGCCGCAATCATAACTTGGAACTTCATGGCGTTATAGCCTGAGGATATTTTCCTAAATATGTTTGTATGTTTCCATATTACAACAAAATATTGCTATTAGGGATGGTCAAGTCTCGAAATTTCGGGAAATTTTCGGGAAATTTTCAATCTCGTTACACGAGACGAGATTACTTTTTGGCCGAGATTTTTATCGAGACGAGAATAAAAAAAAAAAAAAAAAAAAAAAATTTAAAACGCCTGCAGAAAGTCAATGCAATACCCGCAATACAGGAGCGTGTTGTAGTTGCGTTTCCTTTTCGAAGGCGTTCTTATTTAATTAATTCTTTTAATGTAAATATTACTTTAATTCTTTTAATGTAAATATTACTTTCATTATTTTAATAATATTACTTTAATAACATTTGAGAAGTTTTGTTAAGTGTAAGCAGTGTGAGGAATGTTTTATTACTATAAAAAAAGTCAAAACAAGTAACTATTTTATAAAAATTAATATTGCTTTTATTTTATGATTTATTTTATTTTAGGATAAGTTGAACTCTATCCTAACTGATATCACCATGTTTCCTAATCGTAGGCATTTTTAATAAGTTAGGCGTGATTAATAAAAAAATGTTATGCTGATGTTATTTAATGTAAGATTGTAAATATTCTTGCCTATTATCATTATTTTAGTATTTAAACAGTCATCTAACAATGTTACAAAATCAGGTAAAAATTTCGAACGTGCATTTCCCGTTGTGCATGAGAAGAGAAATCTCGTCTCGATCTCGTCTCGAAATTTTATGAGAAATAAAAAATCTCGTCTCGTCTCGTCTCGAACTAAAAATCCAATCTCGTCCATCCCTAATTGCTATTGTCTCTTTTTGCATCCATAACCCCTTGGACTAATTGATAATTTTCTCCCCCTTAATTAATTTCTCTCCTCCTTACACAATATATTCCTAGAAAACTACGTATTGGATGAATGGCGGTAGTTTGGCCTTGCTAGTTGGCTTTGGTAGTTTGGTATTGTAGTTAATTTAGTGGGTGATTGAAACAGAAACATACCTGTATCTGTGCATGCGGACAACGTGATCAGAGATCATCCGGTCTTGATCCTGGTCCACAACGTCCAACATGACGAACAACAAATCAAAACGGGACAACAGTGAATCCTGCAGCCCAATATTTTCCATCGGTGTCTTGTACTGGTTGTACTGAAAAAGATAATAGTTTGCATTAGTCAATGAGAATATAGACTAGACATTAAATAAGTCTTGGACAGTTGATGTTAGCTTAAAAATGCAATTTAGTTGATGACCTTTAGCGGTGGGAATTCTCCGATACTAGGAACTATCTTTTTGGGTGGAAAAAGATCTAAAGCTCTAAAAAGATCAAACCACAAGGTCACAGCATTTTAAGAGTAACTATTTAAAACTATTAATTTTGTGATTGGCTGGATTTGAGTCCAAGCCTTTAGAATAGAACCCGGACCTTTTCCGTTAATTCACTACTACAAGGGGAATATGGTTAGGTTAGGATTTTCTAACTAGTATAGACTAACCTAACCTAACCAAAGTTTAATTCACTACCACTTCCATTGCTAATACTCTTTTTGCTCTAAAAACTAGTGGTAGTGAATTAACCGAAATGTTCCTAGAACCCCTGTATATCATACCTGAATTTGAATTGAAAGTCTTAGAAAGTTGATAAAAAAAGTTAGAATAGAACACTTTGATCATCTCTGAATTTCAATTAAAAGTCTTAAAAAGTTGATAGGAAAAAATAATACTTCTGAATCCCAGATACTGAAGGAAACTACCAGTCTGAGCAAGGCGTGGTAAATTTTTTCATTCAGACAGAACGCAGCTGACTGAGCCACTCATAGTGTGCTAGTGTCAGACATCTATTCTCCCTTAAATTATAACTTTGATAGTTTGACATTACATAAAATCTATGAATAAAACACTATTTCAGTTTGGCTTAAACACTTAAACTAAGATTGGCATATTCATTAGACAATAGAAACCCGGGATTGACATTGGCACATTCTATTTTTGTCGACTAAAATAAACCATGTTAATTTTCATTCTAATAAACGGTATCAACAATCTGACACGTATAATTTCTTTTTATAATAAGCTTGTCAACAACCTTTATCATGGGTAAGCGGTGGGAGTAACTATGATAATTTTGTAAAGAAAAATCATAAAAGTTACTATAAATTTTGTACCGTAATTGTTACAGTAATGGGGGTTGCATTATTACACGAAAACACTAAAACAATACTTTCTTCATATACTATGTATAGGGGGAGAAAGTAAAAATGACTAGTTTAAACATGGGAATGAAAAGTCTACTTCTCTCAATAGTCAAAGGTTAGAAATCATTCCATAACATACTTACTTATGTTATGTACATGTATATGTTATGTTATGTTTCATTTTATGTATTCCTTTACAAAATATAGACTGTCAGCCGTGCCGGGGTTTACCATGGTTGCCATAGGTTCTTGCGCACCATGTAGGTATGGCGTACGCGCTACGTTACTACACGGCGCTCCCAGCAGTGTGCGCCAGAACCTATGGTAACCGCAGCACGGCTGACAGTCTATATTTAATTCTTTATGCCTATGCTAATAGTTTAAACATGGAAATGGAAAGTCTATTTTTGGAATTCATTTCAAATAGTTACAAGCTGTACCTTTCCATAGACAGGGTTGGCCGCAGCCAGTACTGAACAGCGAGCGTTGAGTCGAGCGTGTATCCCAGCCTTAGCTATGGTCACTCTCCCCTGCTCCATCACCTCGTGTATGGCTGTGCGGTCCATGTCAGACATCTTGTCAAACTCATCAATACACACAACACCTCGGTCGGCCAACACCATGGCACCTGCTTCCAATCTGTGGAGAATATAATTAATTATTGGCTTAAATATTTTCACTTTGAGATCCAACACAAGTAATTTGTTGTTTAGTCGCAAATGATTATTAATAATTTTACAAATGTTGTTGAATACAACTTTAAGTTACAGTTTCAAAACAACTGAGTGAGCACTATATTTTAGATTCTCATACTTAACGCATGTTGCATAGTGTCCAAAACCAAAGTTTTAGGAAAGGTACGTGTCAGTTCCAATAACCTCCGTTGATCGCGAGTGTACTGTATCACTTAAAAACCTAATGTAGGCTATTTTTTTAAAGAGAATATAGGGAATAGTTCAAGCCCTATGTTATAAAGTATTTTCTATCTTGACTATTTGATGTTACCTGCGCTCGCCAGTCTCCTGGTCCGTAGTAACTGCGGCAGTCAGACCCACGCCTGAACTCCCTCGGCCAGTGGTGGGGATGGCTCGCGGAGCTGTGGCCAGGACGTACCTCAGCAGCTGAGACTTGGCAACACTGGGGTCTCCAATCAGCAGAATGTTTATGTCACTGTACACACCCAACAGTTAGTATATTCCACCTTCACTTCGTAGAAAGGCTTTAGTCCAGAACTATCCTTAATACTTGAAGGCGATACCTACGAAACACTACTCCTCTGTTAATAATGGACGGATTTTTACAAACAAAGTGTCAAAATTAAATTCAGACGAATAATTTGTATTGCATACTAAAACAGCAGATCATAATAAACACGTGACATGATTCACACACATATCACATGTGGTGTGTCCGTGGTAAGGTCAGTTGTAAGTTTTTTCATTACAAGAAACATATCTTATGCAGACATTCATCACTAGATGACTGGAGATTATGATCCTGATGCAAAGATGTGTGAAAGGGCAGAAATAGGCTAGGGAGTTTAAAAATTGCCGTGAATATGCTCATTTCGGAAGGAATTGTGTTATTAGTCGGTACCCAGACTTCTCAAAGATCACTGAAAAAGGGTTTTCATGGCCATTCTCCACTCATTAGGCCTACAATAGGGACATCAACTTCAGTCATTTGGTGATGAATGTCAGTATTGGATATGTTTCTTGTACCGGTACCTAATCAAAAAAACATATCACTGACCTTACTTCAGAAGTGGTGGGAGATTTGATTGTTGTTTGACATGCAAACTACAGAGTTGTGCGCGAAACTGGCTCATACTTAAAAACCGCCCTCGTAGCTGAGGATAAAATTCTTACAACGTAACGTTTTTTTTACATTTTAATTTCCTTATGTAATCTTTTGTATTCTTAGTCGGTTCAAACATACATTTTCACGTCTGTTACAGATTAGCAAGAATTAAGTTTATTAACTACCATTTTGGGAATATGTCTAGGTTTATGTGTGTTTATGTAGAGGAATATGTGTCCTCTACAGTTACCTGACAACAATACATTTTTGATTAAATTGTCCTGAATGCTTTAAAAACATGAAGTACTATGGAGTGATTTACTTGTGTTTTATATTTTGAATATTTATTTAAATTTATATTTCACTTACATTGACCCTTACATTCTGCAAGATGGCGGCGCATAGCAAACAGTCAAAGTGCGGTTCGTGTAATAAAAACGTCACGAAAACTAGTAAAGCACTCCTATGTGTCGGGATTTGTAAATTATGGCATCATAACACCTGCATTGATGTAACTGACGAAGAGTACGAGTTATTCAAAGCTCTAAAAGGTAAAGCCGTGTATATTTGTGAGAAGTGTCGTGCACCGGCTTCTGCTTCTGCTGAGACTTCGTGTTCGCCAAAGAGAATTGATGCTGAAATTGACAATGGACAATGTCCAGACGTTTTTAAACTTTTGACCGATCAAATTTCTGATCTTTATGACAAGTATAATGTGATTACCACTCAGTTAATTAAAATGGACAATGACAGGAAACTCCTGCGATCGGCAGTAAACAATCAAGCTGAGGCTCTGGACGACCTGTTAATAAATGGTTCTTCTGCAGGTGGTAAAACATACGCAGATTCTTTGAAAGTAAATTCAGTGAGCCCTAGACTCACTAACTCAGCAACTAAAGTGCCTAATAGTGCAAATAAAATGACTAAAAAACATGCTCAAAATCCTAACCTATCAATGTGTAGTCAAAGCTCTCGGCCTAACCCTGTTGTAGGTCTAGGTGTAGGACTAACTTCGCCCTCACAGTCACTGAGTGATTCGGACTTTCCTGTGGAAGCTTCTGAGGAGTTGCCTTATACAGTGGTCAAGGCCCGGGGACAAAAAAGGAGACAAACATCTGTACCAAAGAGACAAACAAATAACACAGGGACTAGGCCTAGGTCAGGGTCAAACAGCAAGAGTGTAAAGTACGGTTTCATTACTGGACAGTCAACTTCCGAACTTAACCTAAGTACAACAGACAAGAAAACATTCTTATTTGTTTCCAAACTAAGCCCAGATACAACCTGTGAAAACGTAACGGACTTTCTAAAGGGTAAAATTGACTCTCAGTACATAGTGGAGAAACTACAGTGTAAGTACCCTAACCATTATTCATCTTTCAAAGTAGGAATACCCTCAAAGCATTTTGATGACATATATAAACCTGAATTTTGGCCAGAAAATGCCTTTGTATCTGTTTATAAGCCAAGGAAAAGTGGACAGATCGTTTCTAATAGGCCTGCTTTGGAGCATTTAAACTCCGAGCTGTCCAAAACAACAAACGGAACCTAGAACTAAACAAGGAATCAGCTAACAGGATTGCCTCCGTGGAAAGGGTTGATTACAACATCTATTCCGTAAACACCCAATCCCTATTGGATAAGCAAAACGAACTTGATCCTATTCTACACAGTCAAAATATTTCTGTGCTTTGTGTGTGTGAGCATTGGTGTAGGCCTGACACTATTGATTTAGTGCATATTGAGGGTTACATATGTGCAACAGCTTTTTGTCGCACTATTCAAACTAAGGGTGGTGTGGCAATTTTTGTCCGAGAGGATCTGAGTTTGCGATACTTGATGTAACTCGCTTTTGTGTTGAGAGACATTTTGAGGTTGTGGCGGTCTTGGTTCATTACCCTAACTTGGAAATAATCATTTTGTCAGTCTATCGAGTTCCAGATGGGGATGCGGCGATTTTCCTGGAGAATGTAGAACTGTTGATTTTATTTTTGTCTAAAATGAATGTGCCTGTGGTATTGTGTGGCGACATTAATATCGATATTCGCCTTAGAGAGCCATTACCTCTCCAATTTCTGGATGCTCTCCGCTCTGTTGACTGCTATTGTGCAAATGAGAAGCCTACAAGAGGACCCGCCTGTCTCGACAATGTTATTACCAACTACCCAAGACAACTTCTAGATGTTAACGTTACTTCAGTGCCTTTATCTGACCATCAGGCTCTGGAAATTAAGCTAACGCCCACTGACTGTAGCAACAAACATCAAGAAACGACTTTTAAGATTACTCGTTGTTTTAGCCAAAAAAACAATGAAAACTTTATGTCCTACATGCTTAACACTGATTGGCTCACTATCAATAGCAACTCCTGTGATAATTTTCCTGAACATTTTTTCATGCATTTCTTTCAGAGCTTTGACACTTTTTACCCTGTTAGAATTATGAAGTATAATGCGAAGAAATCTCTTAAGCTTGGGCCTACCTGGTTTAAGCAAGAACATCAACAAATGAGAAAGGAGTTATCGCAACTGTATGACTTCCTTCTCTGGGCTAAAAAATATAATCTTTCTGTGGATATTATTAGATTCAGGTATTTGGCTGCCAAACGAAGATATAAGAAAGCTCTTGTACAAGCTAAACTGGACCACAATGTGACTAAAATTTCCCAATCAGACAACAAATGTAAAACAGCTTGGGAGATTGTAAACAACTCCAGGAACAGGCCTACTCGTAATGATGACTGCAACCTCACACCCGAAGACTTCAACTCGTATTTCATCTCATCTGTGGAAGATGTCAGTAAACAAGTCAACCTATCTCCAGAAAGAGCGTCTGATTTGCTGGGAAATCACCAACACCCAAACCCCATCTTCAATTTCAAACCTGTGTCCTGTGATTACATAGAAAATATTGTTAAAAATTTGAAAAGTGGCCATAGCAGAGATATCTATGGTATCAGTGGAAATTTTATCAAGAGTATGTTACCTGTGATTGTTCTCCCCCTAACCCACTGTGTCAACGAATGCCTGCGTACAGGGCAGTTTCCGGATGTGTTAAAGCTCTCCAAAGTGGTGCCTGTATATAAGAGAGGTGTTAAAGATTGTGCTGCAAGCTACAGACCGATCTCCGTTGTACCGACCTTTTCCAAAATTATTGAAAAGGCTGTGAAGCACCAGGTGAGTGAATATTTTGAAGTGAATTCACTTTTTTCAAAATTTCAATTCGGCTTTCGGGAAGGTTTATCTTGTGAGGATGCAGTCGACCGCCTTGTTTCAGCTGTGATTGATGGCTTTGAAAACCACCTTAGTACCCTGACCACCTTATGTGATCTGACTAAGGCGTTCGACTGTGTGTCTCATGAGATCCTTCTCAATAAATTACTGTATTATGGTGTAAGTGGTGTGGAGCTAAGTTTTTTTAGAAATTATCTGGCAAACCGCAGGCAACAAGTTTGTTTTAAAAACAGTCTCTCAGAGGTAACGGTAGTCAAAAGTGGTGTACCCCAGGGATCGGTTCTGGGCCCTTTTCTGTTCCTTGTTTTAATTAATGACCTTCCTGTAAATATTAGTTGTAACAAAGTCATATTTGCTGATGACACTACCTTTTTCTGTTCAGGTAACAATATTGCTGAGCTCTGTAACATTATGTCTGATGTGATGGCAGATGGCACAATCTGGTTTGAAGCAAATGGCCTCCTTTTGAATACCAATAAAACTCAACAAATATGTTTTTCCTTGTGCCAGTTTGATGTTCAATCTGATGTAGTTGTAGATTCTGTCGTTAAGCTCTTAGGTATTACTGTTGACACCAAACTTACATGGGATTCTCACATACAGAATGTTTGTACCAGACTATCTAGAGTGATTTCTCTTTTGTGGCATTTAAAGAAGCTGATCCCTAAAGTGTACCTGAAAAATGTGTATTATGCTTTGTTTAATGGAATAATTTCTTATGGCATTCGTCTGTGGGGGAATGGCCACAGTATTGATAAAGTCTTGCGCTTACAAAAAAAGGCGATGCGTATAATCACACACTCAGCTTTTAAAGCACACTGTAAACCACTCTTTGTCAGCGAAGGAATTTTGACAGTGATTAACCAGTATATTTATGTTTGCCTGTTGCATGTTAAGCAACATCTGCATGAGTATCCACTCAGAAGTAGTGTGCATGGTTATTGCACTAGAAGCATGTCCTCACTCAATCAGCCTTATGTTCGTTTGAGTAAATCACAATCCCAGCATCGCACTATGTACATTAATCTATTTAATAAGTTGCCTGTTTCTGCACATAATGTATCTTTCACTAAGTTTAAGTTGTCTGTTTACAATTGGTTGGTTGCAAGGCCATTTTACAAGCTCGATGAATTCTTTGTATTGCCTGTTGATATTCAATTTTAAATTCTGTCTGTCTGTGATATAGCCAAGGGCTGAGTTGTTTTATAAGTTATTTATCTGTCTGTTTGTTAGTATTGTCTTTAAATTTTATACTCTTTTCTTGCCCCTGCTATGTTTTTTTTCTAACTTATTTTAAACACACTGCATTTATTGTATACACATTGCACCTGTTTTCATGTTTGCTCTAGTCTTTGCATACCTATGTTTTTTATAAACTTCAGTATTTTATTTTTAAGATGACTGTGATACTTTTTGCATGTACTCTGCACTTGTTTATATTTTATTGTCTATATTTATTTAGCCTTATTGCCTGTAAACTTTAGGCTACTATTATGACGTTCATCCATTGCATGTGTTGTACATAGCATTTAACGATGAATAAAAATTCTTGATTCTTGATTGATTCTTGATTCTTAAAATACAAGTTTGGGAATAGCAAATGAAAACACAGCATTTGTGAAAACAACTTGGAACAGGCCTGAGAGTGAAGTGATTTTTTATATGGTAGAAAAAAAACAATTAATCAATGATACATACCCTCTCAACCTGGTTCCATTGGGTAAAACTTTTTCAACTCCGCCCAAAAGCATGCATAGGATGGCTTTCTTGATATAGTGATGGCCATGGATACTAGGAGCCAGGGATTTTCCCAGAAGCTCAAAAATGTTTCTTTTCTTGACAAGCTGACGGCAATGTTTGACATCTTCACGTGAAATCATCAACGTGGCCTCTTTGCTGAGTTGTGTGATGTGCGAAGCAATCAATACAGTCCTGAAAAAGTTGAGAGTAAAAAGATAAAAAGAAAAAGATTGACATCTAGATGAAAATTGATTTTATTAAAGGGTATGACAGACACCGTTGGTATTTAATGCTTTTTGTACAAGAACTGTTTGAATTCTTGTTTGTCTAACATGATTATTTTAATAAATAGCAGTATTTATTTTATTTATTTACAGAATGCCATTACATCATATTAATTAATTAGAGACAAATTCCATATGTACCATCTGGGCTAAGAATCAACCTCGATTTGGATCAAATCAACGAGCTTCAAATTTGAAGGCTAGCTTTAGACCCACTCATCCAACCGGACAATCTTATCATCAAGCAAAGTTGAGCGATTTTTTTTTTTTAATTGCTACTATACACACATAATTAAAACTGAGTGAATTAAATTCTTATTAGGCCTTGGTTGAGTTGATACAGTCCAAGTACTCCTTTCTGAGTATGTTTGAAAAAAACACGTCCTTTTAGAATTTCAGCTTTGTAGTCACATGACTATTTGAGTTTATGAACCTTAGTGACTAAAAGGAAAGGGGCTAGAAAGCATTATATTGCATTTCACACAAATCTTTCTGATAAAAAAAAATTCTATAATTATTAGAAGATTGCTAACACTATTTTAACCATAGTCACACAAAGGCGCAACCAGTTTGTAGCGTAGACCAACCTGAAAGTTCCGGAGGTGAAACTCCCCTGCTTGTTCGGCAGACATCTGTAATTGCCAACAATCTGTACTCGGTCTCCAGGCTTGCACAAGTCCACCAGGTCATATTCACACACAATGTCCACGGATCGAGGCAGTTGACCTGGAAATTAGTTTTGTTTTATGTAAAACAAATCAAATGTTGTTAGAATATAAGTAACTAAACAAATATTTATTGTAAATATGTATCACCGGTAGACCGGCCTGACTATGTGATTAAAAATACATGGAATCATTTTAATACCATACATTGTGTGTGTAGAATTATTTAACTATAGTATATTAAAAGGACGTCCAGTGGTCGAAAACTCGGCCAAAAAATTGTCCACACTTCTCTATTTTCACCCCACACAGTAAATAAAACATGTGTTTGGAATTTCTACCGTTTGTTTTGATTTTCTGTTTATATTTTGTTGTTATTTTGTCACCCGCATGGCGATCCATGAGGCCTATGTTATTTTTTTTAATTTAAATTCATTTTTTGTGCTTATTTTAATTTATAAAGGGATTCTGCACATCTACAGGAAAATATCTTTCTAATATTAAGCCTAGATTTTCCCTGCGATGCACACGAGTTGAGAAAAAGGTTTTCAAGAAACACGCTTACCTATTAATATATATGATAAACGTGGAGACTCATAAGCAATTTCACATTTCAATTCCAAGGCTAAACGAATAACACAATCTGTACCTTTGGCTTTTCAAAGATTATGTTTGTTTCAAACAGTTAGGGTAGGTGAATAGAACCACTAATTTACAATTAATTAAATTTGTTGCTTTTAGATCTACAACTTGAAGAGTGGTTTACCAAACTAACTAAATCAGGATAGGGGCCTACAATTTAAAAACTAGCCTATTTAAAAGCCAAATTTTCATTTTCATACACATTTTACAATTATAAACATTCCTTGCTGTTCAGGTCTACATTTGAGTTTACATGAAAATTTAAAGAAAGTTAGTCAGCATTACTGAATTATTTAAAGCAAAATCTAATAAAATCAAACCCTAGTGGGGAGGGCAAAGCATTAAAGAAAATGACGTTTTAGTTTACCATTTGCCAGTCCTCTGGATTATGATTTTTACAATGACACCTCCAATCATAGAATTAGGTTCAGTAGGATGGCTGAAAAAGGGATGTAACAGGGAAACCCGTTTTATAGTCAGTTTAAAGTTAGGATCAAGTGTAGAGGATGGTTTTCTTTACCTAAAACCACCTAAATTTTATAAATGGAGTAGGCTAAGTATAGGCCTATAGATAAGTCAGGAGTAAAATACTGTATGTACTCGTACATTCTGAAAAGCAGTACGAGAATAGATTTGGTCTTGTTTGTTCAACGGTTAAATGGAAAAAGCAGTGCTTTTACTTTAGTGTGTTGAAAGTCATACGCAGCTTGCCACCTGAACAATATGAAGTCTTACCAAAATGGAGTCTTCTGCAAATTTAGCGTTTCAACAAATGTATCCATGTGTTTCATTTGTAGTTCAAAGAAAGGTAACACAACACTAGGCAAGTTTTGTTTTCTTAAAATCCCAGTCAAAAATGCTGGTGCATCATTTTTTCAGTTGTATAGTGCCAAAGTTTCTAAGAAAAAACAATGCAACGCTATGAAATCCTTTTATTTTAATGTGTTTGAAATATTTAATGTCATTATTAAGTCTCCTAGTATCTTTTATTCACGTTGTTTAAGCTAAAAAAATCCAAACTAACGATTAAATTTAAATAAGTGAAATCTGTCCATGTAACTTTACCTGCAGGAGCCTTTTCTGGCATTTCTTGAATGGTCAAAGTCTGGTGGTCCTTGTACTTGGACAGGCCGTATTCAGTTTCCAACAAGTTCCCATCCTCATCCTGTAGGAAAACATTTTAACTAAGGGCCCTCATACAAATTACAAAACAAATCTTCAGGTTGGATCCATACAGGAATAACGCATTTGGCTTGAAAATGCATCTAAAGGAAATTAATAATGGATACACAAATAAATGAATCCACCTAACAAAAGAGTTTCAGGCAGTTGGCAATTGTAAACAACTAAACATAATATAAGTTAGGTCTTTAGGTTAGTTTTGTTTAAGGAAAGGCTCTAGGCCAGGATTTTAAATGGTAGAAAAAGGAGGATAGCAGCTAGCTTACCTTGAAAGTGTGGGTAGGCCATAGAACAAGTAGAAAAATATTTTGTACACAATATTTCGTCCCCTAAGGGACTTTGTCAAGTGTAGAGAGATGTGCAAAATATTTTTCTACTTGTTCTATGGCCTACCCACACTTTCAAGGTAAGCTAGCTGCTATCCTCCTTTTTCTACCATTTAAACATAATATAAGTTCAAAACACACTGAAATGTTGCCCCACAAAGAGGTCTTCTTCAGAAGGAAGGAGTACCTACTTAAAAAAATGTTAAGCTGTTTCAAAACTGTCCTTATGGAAGAGAACTATGATTATAAGTATTCTCCTCTAGACACCAAGGGAGTAGCCTGAAAAGTTTTTGGAACAAAAAATAAAAACATAAATTAAATTGTAAAAGCCATTTAAATTTGTTATGCTAATTAAATAGCAATAGTTATGGCTTGGGGGGAACTAGCAGGTCTAGTGATAGAGTGCAAGTCTGCAGATCCTCGAGGTCCAGGGTACAAATCCTGCCAAACACCAGAATTTATCTAAGTCATAACGCCGCGACCTTCTAAAGCCTAGCCTGAAATAGTCAGACTAGAGCCTAGGGTCCTATATTTGTAAGTGGTATTGACGAAAAGAAAATAGTCGTAGCTTGATTACCATAGTGGGATATGATGCTGAGCTGGGAAAAGCTTCCAATGACGTAAGGTCAGTGTATCTTCTTTCAATACTCTTCTTAGTAGCTGGACAGTAATGAACACTTTTGACAACTTTGGGCCGAACCAGTGAACCTGAAACAAAACGATCACACAACTGATGATATTGTTTAAAGTGTAACAAATTTTGAACAATGTTTCGGGATCTGAAAGCTGATCCTGACTTTAGATAGGATAGAAGAAACCAAGAAACCTTCGCTACTGCAAAAGTACTAAATTTTTCATTCATATGGACCAGCGACGCACATATGCGACGGCCAGTTTCTACCCATAGACTGCTCCTAGGTGTCCCAATGTTATTAAAAAGCTAATATCTTAGTAACAGTCTATTTGAAGGCCCTGAATTCTCTGCAGTGGTCTACAGGGATGTCTTTCGCATATGTGTGTCACTTAGTCTTTGGATATGATGATTAAAGTCGGGACCACATAAGTTTGCAGTTGGTGGCAGCCAATCACAAGACAATGCTAGTGCGACGTTGCCACATCGCCCATTGACAACACTAATTAAAATAGGCCTATACTAAGCAATATTTTCAAATCAGCTGGTATTATTAGATTTGGCAACACCGGACGGTTCTCATTGGTTCATTCAAAACCATATGGTAAATAGGCCCCCCCTCAACTGCAAACTTACGTGGTCCCGACTGTAGTGATTAGTGATGTCATGATAGTTGGTAAAACTGTCTTTTACTTTGCAGTTTGCTGCATCACTGGCTCGTGGTCTGCGTGTAGAGTACTGTTAACCAAGTGACACCCGGTCTATGAGTAATATTTAAATGCATACCTCGGTCCGTGGAAATGGCCGCAGCATCGCATATATGTGGTGATCGGTAGCGAACTTGTTAGGATGAGATAAGTAGGCCTATATATTAAGGTTAGTCAAACCGGATAAATTACAATTGGAAATATAATACAGTAGAACATTGATAACAACTAGGGATTGAAAAATAAGACTTGTTATCAAGGTTGACTTCTTATCGAGGTTTGCAATAACATTTGATTAGGGTGCAATAATTTTAAGGGGATCTGAAAATGACTCTTGTTATCAAGGGTGACTTGCTATCGAGGGTCTTGTTATCAAGGTTCCACTGTACTACACAAATTAACCAGTAAATTAGTGAATTAACTTACATTTGGTAACAATACCCTCGCAGCAAACGAGGTTTCCCAGAAAACGAGCAGTTAGAGTTCGCGGGGTCACATGTTTGTTGCCAAAGCTTCCTTCAAACGCCACATGGAATTCCTCATGCTCCATGGCATAAGAAGGGTCGATAGTGGCGACATAGTCCTTCAAGGCCCTTTGAAATGCCACTTGTTCTTCAAATGCATGGGATAGCAGCCTAAAATAATAAAAAAAAACATGTTTGTTAAGGAATATTTTTTAATAGCCTAACTTGGCAATGGTTTGAATAATATAGGCCTAGGCCAACATTTCTTCATAAACAAAACTTTAAAATATCCTCCATGGACCAAGATAATTCATCAAAATGCAGATTGAATTATACAAAAAATTGTATTATCGCCCAAGCTTAGTAGAAATTACATATAAACTAGTTTAAAAAAAATATTGGGTGCTTTAATTTCATTTTCTAAGCTATATTGGACTAATAATATAGCCTAACAAAATACAAAATAAATATCATTTTTTTCTTTTATTTATTTTCTAACCGCAGCACTCTTAAGGCCTACCTAGGCCTAAATAAGGACCTAATTTTATACACTTTGGGCAGGCAGTGAGGCATAGCAAGAACTAGATCCGTATGTATTTTTACATTTATTAGGTATTGTCTCCTGAATCATAATCTTACACCGATTAAAAAACTGTAGTTGTATGACAACGTCTTACCCAAGAGCTCTAGACTGATTCTTCCTCCGTAGATCGTTGATGTTGACAAGAAGTCGTCTTCTGTTATCCTCAATCATATTTTTGACTCTTTTGTTGTAAAGACCTTGATCCTCCTGTAATCATAAGATTACGTAACGGTAAGTAACTTAATTACTGTGGCACTTGAGATGTTTTAATGTGTGGGTCATCTTTAGGGTCGTTAAATGAATTGTTTTTATGACTAACCACTACCGTACTCATGATATCAGTTAGGGTGAGAACAAATCAGCCTTTAAGGGAGCCTCGATTAGAAATCAGATAAAACATTAGGTGATACAGTAGCCTAACTTCAGCCCAACCTAATCAAAATGTATCCTAAATCATTAAGTTCAGCAAACTGATTATGACAGAGAAATGTGGATGGAATTAGGCACGAGAGACTCAAAATCACAAAAATGGGATTAAAATCAAACTAGGCTAATAAATCACCAGACACTAGTTAACCAATCCAACCACTTTTTATGTGAAAGTATAGATAAACTTAGCCTACTAAGGTACCGTATCGTGGGCCTACCAATTTAAGCATGCCTGCCTACCAATCAACAAGTTTATAAGAACTCTGGGACAAAGTTCTCCCAAGATAAGTTACAGTTCATTAGAAGGATAGACTAGTGTGCTTAACACGTTGACTGCTGAAAACCTTTAGGCCTACTATGGCGTTCCCTAAACTACAGGCGGAGCCCCGGCGCACTACTGAATCAGCGATCGCTATTGGCATTGAAATATCTCAGTAAGACAAAAGAGCAGTAGTGATTGTTCTGCGTTACCCCAAAAGTGGACGTAGTTCACTGAAACACCCAAAGGTAGCAGCACTGCCTGGATCAATAACCAAAGTCTTTGAAATATGGCTCAAATAGAGAAAATCCCCGAAAACGGGACAAAAGCATTGCCAGACGGGATTTTACGGGAATGTTTAGTACCAACCTACACTAAAATAACGCTTGTAATCTAAGCTACAGCCTGGCTACAATCACATTGTCACCGGCCAAGTGCTGGGTTTAGACAGACGCAATATTAGGCGGGCGAGCACACAACTGATAGGCTGCAGTCAACGTGTTAAGAAATAGGCATAGGCCTACACAATCTTAGGTGCTTATAAAAGTTAAGTCAGTTAAGGAACTGATGTTTTTAAGATGGTAGGCCTAGGCACCATTGCAGGGAACCTACAAATATATATAATAATGTATATAATAAATAGTGATAGTGTTATGAACATATGTAGTTGTTACCATAGCAACCAAAATGTTTATTATCAAATGCTGTTTACTATTCTATTCTGATCTTTAACCCTCCCAGTGTTACTTGACGAAAATTCGACAAGCAGCACACTTTGTGTAGTGTTACTTGTCGATTTTTCGACACGCAGACATCGTTTATGGCGAAGGCTCTATGACTGACTGAATCGGATTGAACTGGATCGAGTTAGGTATCGTTCTTTCCGTAATATTCTAAGCTTTCTCCAGAGGTCTGTCTCTAAGCGCTATTCATTTTAGTTCCGAAAATATTGTAGCAGACAGCTGACGTGCGTGTATTTGTAAACAGCTAGGTTCCCCCGGACCGATGACTGATGTGTTTTATTACGTTTATCATTGTTTTAGTGTTAAAAATCAAAAGTAGTGATATACGTGGTGCATTATAAGAAGATTTAAGTGGTTTTGAAGTGCTGGTTGATGATCCTGAAGAAGTAGGTAGTGATATTGATGTAAATTATCAGCCAGATTCCTAGCTATGGTTAGGCTATGCATTCTTAGCTAAACGCTATGTACTGAAATAAGTTTTTTGCCCATAACTTATTTATTTGCAAATCTACTTCCTTATATTATTATATATTTGTAATCCTCATAAAATTTAGAACAAAGTGGCTATTTTCAAATATTTATAGGCCTATAATTTATACAATTTCATTGAGCGCGAACTTATTTTTTTTTTGAAAATTTTCGAAATTATATTTTTTTTTACCTAAAAATTTTTTTTTGAAAAAATGTTCCTTATGTTTTATATATAATATTGAAGCCCATGATTTTCCAAACAAAATGGTATATAGAACATTAGAATTAACATTGTTTTAAGCTTCTCAGATCCGTTTTAATAAAACCTTGCAAATGCGCCAAAAATAGGTGGACATTAAGGCCTAAACTATGGACACTTGGAGGGTTAATATAACACAGTTACTTCTATTTCAACACTCTGTCTTTTTATATTCTAATATTTCCACTCGAAAGTCATATCAGTTGGCGACGATTTGATAAAAAACTATTATCAATTCTTGTTTTATTCTATTATTTTCAAGAAATTGTATTTTGTTAACCATGAATGAAGAACAATTTGAAAGACTCATGAATGTTTTGGCTGCAGCTCTAGGTAATAAAACTTCAAGTCCTCAGATCAATCCTTTTGAACATTTTGATCCAAATAATGATAAATTAAAATTATATTTATTTGGAACGTTTTGAAAATTATTGCAATTTGAAGAACATTAAAGAAGACAAGATGAAAGCTCAACTCCTGTGCTCATCCATTGGTAAGGAACATTACAATAATCTGACATCTCTTTTGGGCCCAGACAATCCTGTAAAAGACCTCAATTTTTCAAAATTAATTGAACATTTCACAGTGATGTTGTCACCTACAGTATCTCATATTGTTGCATAACACTATTTCCTCAGTGTTTCACAACAGTTGCATCAATCTATCTCTGATTTTGTCACAGTCCTGAAAGGTTACCTGAATGATTGTAATTTTTACACTTCTTGCAATGAATGTGAAAGTAAAATTTCAATTGCTGATGAATTTCTCCGCCCTCAATTTATTAGAGGACTAAAAGACAATTGGATACGTGAACAACTTCTACAAGACACTAATCTCAACAGTTTTGACACACTCCTTAAGAAAGCAATTGCCCTAGAAGCTTCCCGCTATGAATCAAATAAAATTTGTAATCCTGTCACACAATCATCAAGTGAAAATGCAGATACACACAAAATTGATAGACATTCAAGGTCTAAGACAAAGGAATATCAAAGTTTCAAGCAATTTAAGACTCCCAAATATGATGACCGCGGTTCCAATAGATCTCAATCACAACATTTCCGTAACAAAAGCTTAAAAAGACACGTTGACTACAAAGCTTTGGGTATTGATGGACTTTGTTTCAAATGTGGTCGATCAAACCATCAGTATAATGAATGCAAAATTAATCGGAACAATCTTAAATGCACTTCCTGTGGAAAACAAGGCCACGTATCAAAAGTGTGTATAACGTCTTTACTAAAGAACTCTAAAACAAACACCCTGTTGTCTCACTACACAGAAGATGAATCCAGTCACCCAGATGAGTATGGAATCACACAAATCAACGATGTGGAAGATCTTTACACAGTAGGACCAGACTCAGACAAATACATGGTTACAGTCACTATCAACAACAAGCCTCAAACATTTGAAGTAGACTCTGGTGCACGATTTTCCTTAATCTCAGAAACGGACTTCGATAAACTTGGACTTAAAGTGCCACTTCAACCAACTCCTATCTCATTTCGCTCCTACTCTGATCATATAATAAAACCTAAAGGTAAAGTAACTGTCTCAGTCTCTTACAATGCAAAATCACTAAATGCTGATTTATTTATAGTACCTGCTGGTCATTCTGCTTTGTTAGGACGAATTTGGATTCGTGGACTTGGAATTGAACTCAGTGAGGTAGACAATAGAAAGCAATCACCGATTAATACAGTTGATGTTAATTTAGTACCGTCTCTAGAGGATATATTCGAAAAATACTCAGCAATTTTCGAAGAAAGAATCGGATGTGTTCCCAATGTTGAAGTCAAACTCCAACTCAGAGATAATGAAAAACCAGTATTTACTTGAGAACGTGATGTCCCTTTCGCATTACGAGAGAGAGTAGAAAAGGAACTTACAACCCTCGAGTCTCAAGGAATCATAACTCCAGTCACATCAAGTGATTGGGGGTCACCATTGGTTGTTATCCCAAAGCCAGATGGAGGAGTCAGACTATGCGTAGATTACAAGTGTGGGGTTAATTCAAAACTTGTCTCATCTAACCACCCCATTCGACGCATTGATGATGTCCTACATAGTCTCCGCGGATCAAGATACTTCTGTAAGTTAGATCTTCATAAGGCTTATTTGCATCTAAAAGTCGATGAAGAGGGAAGTAAGATTCAAACAATATCAACCCATAAAGGAATGTTCAACATGAATCGTCTCAGTTTTGGAATAAAAACAGCCCCTTCTGAGTTTAATCGAATTTTGTCACAACTGCTAAACGGATTATCAAAGGTAGAAGCATACTTTGATGATATCATTTGTCACGGTGAAACTCTCAAAGAGTGTATGAAGAACCTTATTGCATGTTTGGAACGTCTCAAGTGAAGAATGAAGAATAGAAGAATGATCTACATCTTAACAGAACAAAATGTGTTTTCTTCAAGGAAAGTATTAATTACCTTGGACATGTGGTGTCATTCAATAAGATTCAAAAATGCCCTAAAAAGGTTGAAGCAGTTACTCAGATGCCTCGCCCTCGAAATGTTGATGAGTTAAGACGCTTTCTTGGCTTACTTACATACTATGCAAAATTCATTCCTGACTTCTCTTCAAAAACACATCCGCTACGATGTTTGCTTCGAAAAAGAGAAAAATTCTTTTGGTCAGCTGCTGCTGAAGCCTCATTTCTGAATCTGAAATCTGAACTTTGTAGTGATACAGTTCTTATTCCTTTTGACCCATCAAAACCAGTTATTCTCACAACAGATGCTAGCCCAACTGGAATTGCTGCAATACTCAGTCATGATATCGATGGTCAAGAAAGACCAATTGCATATGCATCCAGAGCATTGACTCAGGCTGAAACCAATTACAGCCAACTTGATAGAGAAGCTCTAGCAAACATCTACACAGTCACCCATTTTTACAATTACGTTTTTGGTAAAAAATTCACTCTTGTCACCGATAATGAACCATTGTCACATATCTTCCATCCAGGACGTGCCCTGCCACGAATGACATCATCTCGCTTATTGCGTTATTCTTCATTCCTCAGTGGTCTTGACTATACAGTTCGATGCAAGAAAGGGAAAGAAAATGAAAACGTGGATTGTTTGTCTCGAAGCCCAGTTCAATCATCAATTTCATCTGAACTAACATTCAACAAAGAAATAAACACAATCAATGCAGAAACCTTACTTCAAATCTCCAGCACAGTGATAACTGCAGAAACGATCAAAGAAGAAACAGCAAAAGACCCTGAACTTCAAGTTCTTTTGTATGAACTGAAAAATAGTCGCAAAGATAGCCCTTACATGATCTCAGACAACATACTTTTCCGATCAGATCGAGTCGTAATTCCCAAACGTCTTCAAAATCAAATTCTAAATGAGCTCCATGAATCACACCTCGGAATTACTAAAATGGAACAGCTTGCTAGAAGATATATGTATATTGGGAAGGTATGGACAAACAAATAGAAAGACTAGTGAAAAGCTGTGAAGCTTGTGCAAAAGTTCGTCACAATCCACCAAAGGCTCCGGTACATCCGTGGGATCAGCCCGATGATAACTGGGAAAGAGTGCATATTGATTATGCCGGTCCTTTGGATGGAAATTATTTCCTCATGTGTGTAGATGCAAAATCAAAGTGGGCAGAAGTTCGCATTCTTCGAAATGCTCCTTCCTCAGCAACGACGATGGCACTACTTGAAAACATTTTCTCGGTTCATGGGTACCCCTCGTTCTTAGTCTCGGACAATGCCACTATATTCAAAAGTGAGGAATTTATCAACTACTGTAAAGAAAGTGGGATTTTCCAAAAATTTACTGCTCCTAACCATCCTGCAACAAATGGCCTGGCGGAACGAAACATACAAACCTTAAAGAGAAGACTTATTGCTGCTGCCGATGATCCAACCCCAATTACCACAAAGCTACAAAACATTATGTTCAGATATCGAGCAACACCTTTGGCATCAGGCAAGACTCCAGCAGAGTTGTATTTGAACAGGAAGATTCGGATTAGACTTGACACACTTCTCCCTAACCCAAAGGCAAAACTTCCATCAAAATCAATTGCTCCTCTTCGCGTCCGCTCTCTTAAAGTGGGGGAGAGAGTTCAGGCAAGAGTTCACCTGGGAAATTAAGACATATGGCAGTTTGGTACAGTCAAGAGAAAATTAGGCCAATACCATTACATTGTTGAATTGGATTCTGGACGAAGTTTAAAACGACACATAAATCAATTGATTTCGACTCTTGTATCCAAGAAGAAAGTTACATTTAAAACACACAACGAACAAGATAGTTCTGTTGTTCCAAGACGGATACCTATTATAGACCATCAAACACCACCACAAGAGATCCATCCAGAGTCTGAATCAAATACAAACAATCCAACAGAACTAGACGGTACTCTAAGGGAAGAAAATCTAGACAGACCTCAAGCCACAGAACAAAAAGAAAACAAATTAACTCGTCCTTCCAGACAGCGCAAGGTTCCGTCCTATCTTAAGGACTTTGCTCTCCAGCGATTAAGTGGGGGAGAATGGTATGAACATATGTAGTTGTTACCATAGCAACCAAAATGTTTATTATCAAATGCTGTTTACTATTCTATTCTGAACTTTAATATAACAAACACAGTTACTTCTATTTCAACACTCTGTCTTTTTATATTCTAATATTTCCACTCGAAAGTCATCTCAGATAGTAAGTTAGTACAACACATGACACCTCACCACGTTAACATTGCATTCAGACTGTTTTGCTACAAACTTAAACCATGTGCCACAGTGGTTACTGTAAGCTTACTACTATAACCTCCTCAAACACAAGGCCATGGTGTTGGTGTGTGGCAATTGCTACGTCAACTTATTGCCATGGTAAGTTAACTTAATAACAGAAATAACAAAAAAGTGAACATTAACATTTCCTATGCTGTCCATAACAATTCAATGGCTATCCATTATAAATTAGTTCAACAGCTGTTTCGGTTTGACGGGTCAAGGTGTTGTTGCCACTTTTGTCTCCCCATGGCTTTGTGCTGTGTTAGAGGAGAGAGGAGGCTGTTACTAACTGTTATTGTTAGGCTAAAGAGCAAAGTTCAATAACTCAGTTGTCAGCTGAGATCAGTTAACAAAATTGTAGGCTAAACCTATTGAGACCTCATGACAATTTTGCTATTTTGAGTTTCCCTACCTGATACTTATCTTATCCTGTTAAGGGTAAATTAAGTTTAGGTCACATTGCAAGAATAAGTTACTAGCAAAAAAAAATATAGGCTATATATAGGCCTAGGCCTATTACAATCCAATTCAGTATAAGGGGGCTCCGTTGTTTACAAGGCAACATTGCAAAAGGCTTCATAGTAGGCCTACATTACACCAACCAACCGAATTATGGATATGAAACCCCTTACATTTCTAACCCACATGCCACCTACTTTTTATCTAAGCCTTGGCCTAGGCTGCATTAAACCTTATTAGGAAAACTGCCTTGCTCATAGTCTATTGATACAAACGATAAAGGTGTAAGGTTGTTAAAATAGGTTAGTATGATGGCATATAGAGTGAGACCAAAATAAGTGGGAACCAGCCAAAGTGTAGCCTACTAGGCCTAGGCCTCGGCCTAAATCTGGGACCTTTTATTTTACTTATCGCTTCATCGGTTAAAGCAAGTAGCCTAATTGTGTATTTAAAATAACGATCTTGGGGCCAAAACACTTTAATCTTATAAGTTACTCGGACTAATTTAACATTCTAATAATTGGCTAACTTAATGTACCTCATCGTCCAAAAATTCTAAATACTCTCGTTGAATGTCACGTAGCCTCTGATCCAGTTCATGCTCCATCGTATACAAGATTCTGATAACGTATCAAACACTGGTGCAAATTAATTATATGAAATGAACTAAATATTAAATAAGAACAAATTGAAACGAAACGAAGACACTGACAATCAAGGTTCCAAAATTTAGCAGGTGTCCTCTGCTCTGTCGTCAGTCAGTTCAGTTTACAACAAAAGCAGAATAATCTGGCGGGAAAATGGGGGATTTGGCCGATTTGGCGGCAAGGTGGGAGAGAACATAAGAAATCAACACGAAATCAAACGTCTTTGGCTTAAGTCAAACAATGTTAATACTGTAAAAAGAGTTATTGCTTATTGTCATAGATTATGTTTAATCTATGCTATTGTCTTGTTTACACTCTTTATTCTTGATATTTTACTTACTGACATACTGATATTTTTGTTGTGACATGTTTAATATGTTTGTGATGGATTTTCATCAAGGTTCACACGCAGACAGGGATGGATCTCGAGTAAACAATTCGTGTACGTGAACCCGACGTGGCGACGTATCATATTGACTTTGAATAGCCTACTGCAAATAGGCATATTATTTATATGTGAAGCAGGTGTACGATTCATTTAGGATACTGAAAGTAGACAATTTATTTACGTGAACCAAATGTACTTTTAAGTTTGGATACTGCAAGTACGGTAACCAATTCGTTTACGTGAACCAGACGTACCATTCACTTTAGAACCAAATGTTCTTTTAAGATTGGTTGCTGCAAGTAGACAATTCATTTACGTGAACCAGAATTATAATTGAATTTGAATACTGCATATAGACATTCATCCATTTATGTGAACCAAATATAACATTGACATTGGATACTGCAAGTAATTAATCTCATTTACGAGGAACAGACGTAGCATATTGACTTTAGAAAAGTTTTGTATTAAAATGCTAGCTCCGCTCAATATTTCAAGCAGACAACTGCTGCATTTGAGCCGACCCCTCGCACCGCCCCCAGACGAACAACTATTGGAAACGTGCCCCCCATAGTGACAGTGCGAGTGGCCGCCCCACATCCCTAACAAAAGTGAAAGGCCGTGGGTGAATATCAAAACAAAACAAAGTTGTCAACAAAGCCTATATATTTCAATGAATCCAACAAATAACAACAAACAACATCATTTCCCCCATCCAAAGAATTTATCTTTTAAATAATCTCTTTTCTCAAAACATTTAAATAAATAAGAATTTAAGATTACCCTTCTAAACCTTACATCACTGGTACCACCCATGTAGAAATCTAATTCTGGCCCAGGTTCTGGCCAGTACTGGTACAGTACTGGCCAGTACTGCTACAGTACTGGCCAGTAATACCCAGGTTCTGTCCAGTACTGCCCAGGTTCTGGCCAGTACTGCCCAGGTTCTGGCCCAGTACTTCCCAGGTTCTGGCCAGTACTGCCCAGGTTCTGGCCAGTACTTCCCAGGTTCTGGCCAGTAATGTCCAGGTTCTGGCCAGTAATGTCCAGGTCCTGGCCAGTACTGGTTAGAACCTGGACCAGAACCGGCCAGTACTGGCCAGAACTCACCAGTACTGGCCAGAACTCACCAGTACTGGCCAGAACTTGCCAGTACTGGCCAGAACTTACCAGTAACTGGCTAGTACTTGTAGATTCTAGACCAATAATCAATCTTGACAGAGTACAGTATGTAAATAAAAAAACCGAGGTTAAGGTAATAAAATACAGATATTTGAAGTAAAAACTAGTCAATTAGTTAAACCTATATTTATTGAAAAATTAAGTTTAAAGCAAGACAAAATTTATAGGCCTACATGTTTAGATAATTTTCAAGGGTAAAAACTGTTACCAGTGTTACCATCAATAATATCGACTCAACTTGAACTCGCTCCCCCCCCCCCCACCATGGTTTTAAACCTATCTGGATTTGGATCCAGTCCAGTTAGTCCAATTGAAGGTTTGGGTTTGGCAATGGCTTTGTCCTTTGACCAATGAATACGAATACACAATTTAACGTTTTTTTAAGCTCAACGCATCGCCAACAAAAATCTAACACAAGAGGACAATAATTAAGACGAGGACAAGACAGAAGTGAGAAGAGCAAAGACGAAGATAACTATTTTTTTTGTACGAGTTCCATTCCATTCCAAAATCAAATCCGATCCAATCCAACGTGACGCACGCCGGAGCGGAGCGGAGTTGTTACTAACTAACCTCAAATCTCAACCTGTCAGTTGGTCAGTTCAGTTTTGGTCTCGACATCTTTATTAACAGTTAATTTCTAACTAAGGTGTTCTTGTCTTAGTTATATCTTAATATTAATCGTAGAACAACGTTCTACCTAATTTGCTGTGAAAAATATCTATTCGTGTGGAATCAGAATGGATTATCGACAAAGAATCAGGTCGAACTTGGCAAACCATCAGGTTTATAGACAACTGAGTTCACAGGCCTCATTTTAGCAAAAAGTTGTAAGTAATGCACCACAGGTTTGCATAAGTGTCATATTATTAAGTTGTCATATTAAACTCATAATATGCCTTAATGTTGAGGTGGCTGTTAGGTTTAGTTTTTATGTGTCCAGTACCTAGTATAGGCCTAGGTAAACTTTAACTTAGGCCTACCTTATTCAGTGCAACAAAATAAACTAGCCTAGGCCTAGTTCCAATTCAACTATTTTCTACTAATTGAAGTGTTAAATTTGGAGTTGTGAAGTATTTAGTCAGTATGTTACTTCATTATTTGATCTCACAAATTGTGTACGGTACGGTAAGTTTAGGCCTTGATAGCCTAGGCCTATGACTAGGCCTACAAGTAAAGCAAACCTTGATTGGATTTGTAAATTAATGATGAGATTCGATTGCAATTAAGTCAATTTTTAGTACCGGTAGCCTAACTTTTGTTCAGCGTAGGTTCCGTTTGGGGCTACATTTGGGTACAGTTTCCGATTGAAACTATCAAATGGAAAATATTGATTAATAATCGATTTTGAAATATATCTAGGCCTATTTTATAATTAAACTATCATGACCTAACCTAACCAACCAAACTTGCTGATGGTGAAAAAATCGCATGAAGGCTTACTAATCAAATCGATAGTTTCAATCAATATTAGCATAGCCCAGTTAAGAAACTGTACCCGCCTACTTAACTTATGCCTAGATCAAAAGTAACTTAGGCTTAAACATCAAAATGCAAAACTACCTAATGAATAAGTTAGAGCCTACACAAAAACATTGTTTTTCATTTGAATGGGCGGCTATTTTTATTCACAGATTGTTTCGTTAAGTAAGTTATCTTAGGCCGGACTAACTTAACTTAACTTGATGTTTGGTTATGTTTGCTGTTGTATTTTATAATAAGAAGCCTACTAAGTAAGTTAGCCCTGATTATGTAAATAATATGATAAATAGGTCTTAGCTTAAGTGCTAAGGTAGGCCTAAGGCAGAGAACCCATGATGGGTTACATTAACGGATTAAATATTAAAATAGTCTACTTCGATATAACTTAGGCCTAACTATCGATTAACATGTTTCAATCTTTATAAATATTGAATTTCAATATTGATTTTCGTTTACAGTAAGTTATGGCGTTTAGGTTAGGTTACCTACCTAGTTTAGTTTATGAAACTTATTAAAAAACTATATGAATAGGCCTACAAATTGATGTCTTTGTGATTGTAATCTGTTAAACAAACCAAAGTAATATCAACTCTAATACCTACCAACAATTTTACTTTGATTGCTACTATCATAAACTAAACTAAAACAACCTAACCGCCGCAGAATGTGTGGAAAAAGTCTTCTTGAAACAACAATATTGATACAATTGTTACAATGGATATTTACATGAAAGCAAACTCATCCGATACAATATAACTACAGAATATAGTAGGTTCTCTACGGAACTGCACCCTTGGAAGTGCCAACATGAAAAAAGTACGGTAACAAGAAAGATGGGCTATAACATTTTTTTTGAGTCTTTTTATTTTAAGTCCCCTTAACTGAGTATTTAAGTAGGCCTACCTATTTAACTTTATTTATGGCCTTTGAAATGATTTTTCATTATACTTATATAAGTTACGTAGCCTATTACAGTAAAATTTTAAGATGGCCGCTTAAGTTAACCTGAATTGGGATAAAACTAGATTACCTATTAGGTCCTATATTGATTCTAAATTGTGTAGGCCTATTGCCAGGTTATTTTACAAAATCAAGTTTTAATTCGATTATTGAGATATGTACAATCTCATTTCTATTCAATATAAATATAGCCTAGCCCGCATTAGGAACTGCGCAGCTTATGCGGCTATACATTAAAAATAATGGAGTTGTTCAAGTCTGCACATGTACATTGAAAGCGAATTAGCCCAAACTTAAAGACAACCCAACATAAAGGCCAAGCTGAGCTCTGGAGATACAAATATACTTACATCAGCTCACCATTTTTTATAGTTGTTACTTGTCTGTTTCAGGTAAAAAAACTTTATGACAACTACTGTACTACATTTATATTCTAAAGACCATTGTGTTAATACTATAAATCTGACATTATTAATTTGATTAATAATTATAACCCCGACAAATTAGATTCATTGGATATTTTGATTGTTTAATTTTTTACATTTTCAATATAAAATTAAATTTAGTATTGTAGGGTATTATCAATAGTATTCTTTTTGGTGATTTTACTTTTTCATACAACTTTTATTGTAATTTTGCAAAAAAATAATTTATTACCTAACCTTGATTTTTGTTAACATAATTTGTATTTTAGCATATGTAATTTTCAAATACAAATTGTTTATTGCTAAAGGTGTCTTATTAATTCATCTTCCATATTGGTTCAATTCTCACTACTGTATGATCCAGATACTGGTCCAGTATTGGCCAGGTTCTGGCCCAGTACTGCCCAGGTTCTGGTCCAGTAATGCCCAGGTTCTGGTGCAGTCCTTCCCAGGTTCTGGCCCAGTACTACCCAGGTTCTGGTCCAGTACTGCCCAGGTTCTGGCCCAGTACTGCCCAGGTTCTGGCCCAGTACTGCCCAGGTTCTGGCCCAGTACTTCCCAGGTTCTGGCCAGTACTGGCCAGTTCTTGCCAATTTTGGAAGTGCCCAGAACCTGGGCCAGAAAATTTTTTTACTGGCCCAGAAAATTTTTTTCCACATGGGCAGTGCAAATAAATTAGGCCTAACAGTAAATAAATTATTAAAAGATGGTAAAAACTGTAAATTTTGTTTTAAACTTTAAATAGATTAACAATAAATTAATAACTTTCAAAATTAATAAATAACAATTAGCTTAAAAATAAATAACAAGTGATGAATAATTTGGGGGCCCCTCTAAATATCAAGTCCTTCAAAAATATAGTTTTTATAGTCTAAATCAAATCAACTTGCGGCACTTGGTGGTGGTAGGCGGTGGTGGTTGAAGGTGGATGGTGGCTTATAGGTCCCCGGAGAAACAGGGCAGTTGGCAGCCCAAGGGGGTGGAAGGTGGAGAGTTCCCCCAGGCGACCCTCTCCGAGGACGACATCAGCAGAACCAAACCTCCCATCCGGGACCTCATCTGACGTCTACGGCGCACAAAACTACATCAGAAAGAGTTAAGGCAATGAAGATAAAACAATCTTCTCTGACGATGGACGCAGATACATATTTATGCACATTAATAACAAAACAAACTGTGTGTGTAGTAATGACAGTCGCTGTCCTTCTGCCGAAAATGTGTCCGACAGCGGAAAAATTGCCCCGGGGTCTGCAGGACTGCTGCCAGACCCAAACCGATTGAGTTCCGGCGCAAAGCCAGTACTCGCACTATAAAAAAAACTGAGGCGTGACATTGGTGGGACGCTTGGTGGGCAAGTCACGGCTCAACCTCCCCCCCCCCAAAGGAGGACTTCCTCTCCAAAAAAAAGAAAACAACCTCTCCCAATTCTAGAAGATCTCAACACCACAGATCAACTCAAGTGTCTGAAGTGGGGAACGCCAAAAACCTTTCAACTGGAGGGACTACTCACCCCCAGGGTTTGCACTGGCCAGTGCTGGAAAATTTACTAGGGAAAAATCTTCAGCAGCGCACAAGGGACAGAAGAGGTGATCAAGCTCTCTGGCCCAGTGCACTTCCCACTCAGATACAAGAGTAATGAAAGATGACCTACGGAATTGTTCCCCGGAAAGGCTTCAGATGAGAAATGTGAGCCCTCCGGAAAACTTCTCCAGTCTGCGGATTTCCTAGCCGCACGGAGACAGGAGTCAAGAACTTCAAGATGCGGTGGGGACCTGACCACCGATGAGACAACTTAGCGGCTCTCTTGTCCACGGCCGAACTGACCGGATGAGCCTTGCAGAAAACCAAATCCCCCACCTGGAAAGGATTGTCCAACCGACCTCGATTGTGCTTCCTCCGAACCAATTCCCTAGCTCTTATCAAGTTCCTCCTAGCCGCCTGCCAAGTTGCCTTGACATTGGCAGCACCAGGGGGTGGCAGAAGATCGCCAATTTTCCACACATTTGCCAAGGGATTATTGGGTGGATAGCCCAACAACAACTCGAAAGGGACCGCCTTGTGACTCTCATGGTGTGCAGTATTGAAAGCGAATTGAATCCAAGGAAGTTCCTGATCCCAGGTGGTCTGCTTGTCAGCATGAAAAGCTATGAGAGCGGATCGAAGATTTCTGTTGAACCTCTCAGCATGGGAAGGCTGTGGATAGTAAGGAGAAGTGGTCACATGACGGATACCGTGCCCAAAGCACATTCTTTTGAAAAGGTGAGACACGAACTGAGTTCCGTTGTCGGAAACAATGGTGGCGGGTATTCCAAAGTGTTGGAACAAATGGGTACGAAGTGCCTGCACGGTGAGCTGTGCAGTGGCGTTCCTCAAAGGAAAAAGCCAACAAAACTTGGAGAAGGCATCCACACAAACAAGCAAGAATTTGTTTCCTGACTTGCTACGTGGGAGTGGCCCTACATAGTCTATGAAAACCTTCTCCAAAGGTCTCTCCGCCACCTCAGATGACAACAACCCATACTTGGTATTCTGAGCAGGCTTGCTTAGCGAGCATGTTTGACAAGAACGCACTCGTGCCGCAATGTCCCTGTCCATACCCTTCCAGGTGAACATGTCCCTAACCTTCGCAATGGTCTTGTGAATCCCTAAGTGCCCACCCACAGGGGAAGAGTGAAAGTACGCAAAGACCATGGGTACAAGAAGACTAGGCAGCACAACCTTGGGTTTACCTCGCTGTTGGTCTCGACAACAAAGAGCACCCTGGGACAGAAAATACGGGGGGTGGGCTCCCCCATTTTGAAGCTCACCAATGATCTTAGCCAGCTCGGGATCTTTTAACTGATGTGGGATGAACTCAGAAAAGGCAAGGGGAAACTCCAGGAGCACGGCACACCCAGTGTGCTCCTCCTGATCAGAAGGTTGGTCGTCAGGTGAGTGATACATCCTTGATAAAGTGTCAGCAATCACATTCTGCGTGCCTCGAACATGTTGCACTTGGAATTTGAGGGAAGATATCTGGACAACCCAACGACCAATTTTCCCAAGCTGGCGAGGATGTGCGAGGAGCCACGAGAGAGCCTGGTTGTCGGTTTCCAGCAAAAACTCTTTATGTTCCAAAAAACGTCTGAACTTGTTCACTCCAAACACGACAGCCAAACACTCTAACTCATACACAGAAGAGCTTTTCTTTTCGCATGGGTTCAAAGTGCGTGAGGCATACGCAATTGGCTGCCTAACACCATCTACCTCTTGAGACAACACAGCCGCAATAGCGACGGAGGAAGCATCGGTTTGCAAAACAAACTTTCGACTGAAATCTGGCATCGCCAAAACTGGAGGTTGCATGATAGCTTCTTTCAGAAGATCAAAAGACATCTGTTGTGCTTCACCCCAAACAAACTTGGCGCCCTTCTTCCGAAGCTCATTGAGAGGAGCCGCCAACTCAGCCACATTGGGGATGAAGCGCCGGTAGAAACCCACCATGCCGATGAAACGGGCAATGCCTTTGACATCTCTGGGAGGAGGAAACTCCCTGATAGCCTGGGTTCTAGCCGGATCGATACAGACACCTCGTGAAGATACTAGATGACCTAGGAAAGAAATCTCAGCCTGAGCAAAACTAACTTTCTCGGGATTTACGGTAAGGCCAGCCCTAAGCAACCTATTCATGACTTCCTCAAGATGAACCAGATGGTCTTCAAAGCTCTCACTGTACACCAAAAGATCGTCAAGATAGTTGAACACAAATTTGAACTTGACGTCATGGAAGATGGAGTCCAGAAGTCTGGTGAGGGTCTGGGCCCCCACAGCTAGGCCCATGGGAACACGTGTGAACTGGTACAAGTTCCACGGAACGCAGAAGGCAGTGAGAGGTCGAGATTCAGGTTTCAAGGGAATCTGATGGTAAGCCTGGTTCAAATCAAAGACGGAAAAATACTTGGCCTTACCGAACCAATCGAACGCAGAGTGCAAATCAGGGAGAGGGACAGAGTCAATTTCAATCTGAGCATTCAACTTGCGATAATCTAGAACCATTCGAGACTTGCCATTTGGCTTTGGAACTAGAAAAGCTGGACTTGCGTAACTTGAGCGAGAAGGCTCAATTACCCCATTTTCAAGAAGCTCATTGATGATTTCACGGAGTGTCTCCATTTTGGGTGGAGCAAGTTTGTAAGGATGAGAACGAACTGGACGGGTGTCAGTCAAACGGATTTCGTACTCCAAAAGATTGGTGACTCCAAGCTTTGGCGTCAGCACCTCAGGAAAACGAGAACACAAGGTTCTGATTGCTTCAGCCTCACCAGGAGTCAGATGCCCTAAAGGATCAACTTTTGGTTTGCTGGGTGTCTCAGGCTCTACCAAAGCTGCACCATCCACAATTTCATCCGCAAAAGGAATGAGCACCCGTCTTGCGAAACGAAAGAAGCACTGGCCTCTGCCTAAATCTGGGACGGGTGGCGTCGTCCTGTAATCCAGCTACTGGGAGGTCACGAATTGTGGATATTTATAGGGATGCACTGTGGATGCGATGCTCCCTGGTGTGGATTAACGTCCGCACTAGTGAGTACTACGACTATCCGCAGTATTATCCTGATAATTAGACCAATTCGTAAATTACAAGGAAAAATGTGGTTCGGATTCCACTATAAACTGTAGGTCCCTTAGTTGCCATTAGCTGTATGGGCTATTAATTAACAGCTGTGTCTAAGGAACATGTCGGCCTTAGTCACTAACAAGACTACAAGATCGCGCCACTCATCCTACACTCATCCTTCACTCATATTTGGGTTAAAATACGCACATAGTGGCGTCCCCATCTTAAATAATTGAATTGAATTGAATTAAATCCAAAATCAGGCCACAATGCTTGATGAAATCCGCTCCCAAAATGACAGGAATGCAAAGGTCCTTGGCTACCCAAAAACTCCACACCCAAGAAAAATGTGCAATCTTGAATTTCAAACGGGCTTCATAGATGATGGGAAGTGGGGATTTCGATGCAGTCCAGCAGATGTGGGTACTTCGCTCAACTTGCTTGATTAGCCCAGAAGATTTTAGATTTTCAAACAGGGAAAGGGAAATGAGACAACGGGCTGACCCAGAATCCACAAGGGCCTTCTGCACCGTTTTACCTAAGAAGATGTTGAGTCGTGGGCAAGTTGAGCGCGCCGCTTTCACTCCCATGCATGCAAGCTCCCTCATACCCCGCGACAGAGGCTCCCCAAAACCAGCACTCCCAGAAGGGGCAGTACTCACAGAAACCAAATTCTTACTGACTTTCTCCAAAACAGCTTTCTCACAGGGCGG